AGGATGAATATCATGGGAAAGACTGTGAAGCTATAAATTGTAATATTAAAGCGATGAAAACCAGTGGTTCCCGATTCTCACTTTGCCAAAGCACAAGTGTGTGTGTAATTCATAGTTAGGGAGATACATGATGTGTGATTGTGTACATGAACGTATCACATTTGGGAACAGTAGATGAGGAAAGGAATTCAAGGGGGAACCTAATTAGGGAACTAGGAGATAGACAACCTCCAAATAGAAATTCCTTTACTAATATAATTAAGGATGTAAATATATCAGGGAAAGCCGTTACTAAAACCCAGCATAGAGGTTTCAAGTTTCAACATAGGAAATCCTAAAGGACAGGATAAAGAATAATGACTAGCCAGCACTAGTCACTACGGTCAATGCAATGTAGACACAATTTCTGCGTAACATAAAAAACTGAGTGCCAATTGAGTAAAATAGCAATATTCCAAAAACACAAAGATCCAGTTTACAACTTCTGCCATCATGCATGCAATTGTTCTAATGTCTATAACTAGAAATGTCTATAAAAAGAAAAGAAAAAAGAACTTCTATAAACAGGAATATAATTCAAATTGAATAGTTCTACGTAAAAACAGAAGGCAAGTTGGATAGTCAAGTCAACCTAAATGGAAACTTCATACTTTTTCTATGAAACTTGCATATATGGACAAAATTATCCACCTTATTCTTAAATAGTTTTTTTCCTTAAAATTAATTGACAGATTTACAGTGAAAATTAATAGTCCACAATGTTAAAGCATCATATAATCACCCATTCATCTAAATCAAGCGATCATAAAATAAAATTGAGTTGTTTACCAAATAAGATTTGATTAGCTATCAACTTACTAAATCATCATAAGAGGATGGGAAGCATGGATTCTGTTCGTCAGCGCTATTGTAGCCCTCATTCTCATTAAGAGACTTAGGGGAAGTAGGTCGAGACCCAGCAGGTGAAGTCCTGGCTGAAACAACAGGCCACGCAGATGCTCTTCGAGATGGTCCTATTTGGACAGCATTTGGATTTGATGACACATTTTTCTTTGAACTCAAGTTAGGCGGTGACGGTTTTGGAGGAGGAACAGGAGGAGGCGGTGGATTTGGAGTACTGTTAGCACTGCGCAACGAACCACCGCTTGAACCCTCGCTTCCTGATGCAAGTCTTTCTGAAATTTTCAATCCACACAACCTATGGTCATATTCTCGCGCAGCCGCTAACTCCTCCTTAACAGGTTTCTCAACGTCAGCTATTTCATCACTTGGAGTGTCATTCTGCCCATAATGAAGATTTTCTACCAAATGATCGTCGTTCTTTGTCTTACCGTCACTACTCCCTGAATAATCCAAAAGCTCGTTGTCAACAAGTATGTCCGGTACCTCCTGTCCACTGTCCTCATCTCTCACAGTCGAATGAGCCTGGGGAACTGTTGCAGGTGGCTCTACCCGAGTTGAAGAAGAACCGGACAGAGCAGAACGACTTGGGTTTGACGAAGAATTGCCAGAAGAACCCCGCTGAACCAAAATCCGAGTCATCTTATATAATTATTCTTGTCCACAAATAAGCTCAGCCACAATTTCTCTCCCGAATTTAAAGTTCCAAAACCCTGTTCATCGGTTTGTCGCGTGTTCTTGCCTTGGGCACAGTGATGCCAATCCCTTGTCTGAACGATGTCTTCCAGCCCAGTCCCTCGCAAAACGATCTCTGCATTCCCCTAGCAATTCTCATGAGACCCAGACCTCGGACTTCAAACAACAAGACCGGCTAAAGCAGTCGTATTTAGCTTAAAAAAATACACTTGAAAAGTTTAATCTGCATAAAATAATTAATTCCCAAGAAATCAATATAAAAATAAACCAAATGTCATACAAAATTTTTTCAATTTTCAATATAAACAATATCAATATAAAAGTTGTAAGGAATCGCCAAGGCAAACACTGACCCAGCACAAGAGTTAGGAAAGAAGGGGAGACAATTATAACCAACCACAAATAATCAATCAAAGAAAATCAAGATGAAACGAAGCGCTCCATTGCAAAAAGGAAACCAGAAAGAATCGAACGCGAACGAGAACTGGAACCTCTGAATAAGCATGAAGAAGACCACACACACCTGAGGGGGAATGACAGGCGGGGAAGACCGCAATCCTGGAATGATCTGTCAAAAAAGCTAAGTGAAACCGCTGGGAGCTAGAGCGATCAAGAAATTGATTAGGGTTCTTGAACAGACAAACCAGCGAATACAGAGAATGAGAAAACTTGCAGGGAGAGCGAGGGCACGGGATGTCGCACTCTACAGGTGAGACCTGAGGGAAGGACAGCCACGTGGCGTGGCGTCAAAGAGGAAAGGCTCGTTTGAACTAGGCTTCCAGGGGCGCTGTTGAGTGTGAGCATGCTTTGTTGGCAGTTAGCGCGAGCCTTGTTAGTTCAATTATTAATAGTTAAATCAAAATTATCGTAAAATTGTAACTAAATTAGTTATAAACAAAATATTCACGCTAAACCAATTAGACTGACCTGGTTTTTAACATTCTTTTCATACTCGACGCTTTTTTTATGGTTACCCCCACCCCGACTTTTTTTTTTTTTTTTTACGTTCAAATGGTGATGGCCTCTTTTTTTAGAACATAAGAAATAGGTTTAGCCAACAATAAAATTTATCTTCTTCAATAGGTTGTGGTTTTTTATCTTCTTTTTGTTCCTTTATGTTTCTTTCTTCAGTTGTTTGTCTTTTACCTAGTTGATTAATATATCTCGGTATTATTAAAAAAATTATCTTCTTCAAAATATTAAAAGTTATTATAAGTATATGTATAATATAATAATTTATAAAAAGCTGAATGGTGCATAATAGTTAGTAAATAATATAAGGAATAACGCAATTTATAAATAGTATGGTTTTCTAGTTTTTTTCTTGCTTTTTTTTTTGAGCTATACATTAATGAAACATGTAAACGTGTGAGTAATAAAGTATGCATAAATAAGATATTCCATCACTTTGTCATCACTTTCTTGATTTAGTATTATTTTAATAAAAGAATTAGCTAGTTACAAATATTGCAGATATAATATATGTCAATGGCTTTCTTTACATTTTTAGGTGAAAGGGAAAAAGAAAAAAAAAAAAAACTTTCATCGCCTTCTCGCCAGGACTTGCCAAATGGATTGTAGTACTGCCTTTCAAGGGGTCGTGGTACTGCTTTGAAATCCATGTTTTCATCCTTTTACAAGTACCTGCTTTTTGTGAATTAGATAATAAGAAATTAAATGCATGGTTTGTTATTGTTGGTAAAAAGAAAAAAAAAAACAGGATTTGTTATTCTTAAACAGAGCAACCCATTATGAATTATATAATTTATATTTAAAACGTAAAATATTAATATTGACAGTATTATATTTTTTAAAACAAAAAATGAGTGAGTTAAATCTCAAAACTTAAAAAGTATCCCCAATCCTCATGTATAAGTTATTTCTATCAATTTCAGCAATATCAATGTAAAAAAAATATGAAAAATAAAAGTGTATAAAATTTTAAACACATCCTTATATAAAATTTAAAAAGTAATATCAAGTTATTTTTCTCCCTCATGAAAAATAATTTTAAAAATATTTTTTAAATATTACTTAAAAAGTGCTACCATAACTTATAAGTAGGATCAAATAAATTTTTTGTAATATACCTTGTAAATGAGACCGGATGGAGTACTCCCAAGAGTCAGGATCTATCCTTTCAAAAGGCACTCATATTATATACCAATGATGCCTTCATTGTATTTTTTTTTTTTTTTTGGGACCAAACCCTCATTGTTAGTTTACATGCAAAAGATTACTCCAACTTTAATTGGACATTTTTATATATAAAAGATTGAGTAAGGAGGCTTATTATTTATTGTCATTTACTTCACTGAGAGGTTTTCCCCTTGATTAAACTACACTTCATAAAAGCTGAAAAGTAGAAAATGGAAAATTGGCGTATATGAAACAAGATTGCACAGACTATAGTGTTGCTATTTGCCTATTTTTTATCAAATTTTGCGAGCACGCAAGCGCTAATAAAAGAATAAAAAATTTGCAAAGGGACTGGAATGTCAGAATTCAACATATTCCAAGAGAAGGCAATCTTGATGCTGACTGGTGTGCAAAGATGGCTATGAGCACTGCACCTCGACTTCATTTTCTCCAGCCTCAGGAGATTTTCTGTGACGACTTGTTTGACCCCCCGTCGACTGGTGCAGCTAGTTTCGCCTTGTTTTAGTTTTCCTTCCTTGTATACCTAACCCCCCCCCCCCCAAAAAAAAGAATAAAAGAATAAAAATTATTGTGCTCTGTATACATGCATGATGTAACACTGCTGTCTTCATCCCAACATGAAAGATTCCGCACCTTCGTCATACTCCCCCGTATCTAAGAAATAAGACATTTTTTACTAACTAGTATTGATCTAAAATGTAAGATATCTCGAAAAAAAAAAATCAATAGCATTAATTTTTTTCACAAATGTCCCTATTATTAATTTTATTATAGAGAGGTCATGTAAAAAAAAAAATTGGAGGTAATTAAGATTGATTGATTTTAACTAACAGGTAATCTTGAAAAATATTGATTGTTTTTCATAACCATTTCAATAATACGAACCACTTTTAACTAATTTTTTTAATTATTGTAAAGTAGTTAAAATGTCCCATATTTTAAACAGTAGAGAGTAATAGTCAGGATCAAGGACAAGAAAAAAAATACAAAACCAATCCCATCAGCAATTTTATCCCGATACAATGCCTGAGGGTCTCGAATAAATAACCTTGACCGGGCTCCTCTTCCCCTCCACGTACAACACATTTCTAATTAATCTAAGTTGTTTTGACCAAAAATAAGAAATCTTAGTTGAAGGGGGGTAAAAAACATGAGCGGTAAATCAAACATTCTTGCCAAAGATCATCGAAGGATAACCGGCAGAAAAAACGAAAGGAAAAGCGAAACACAGAATACTAGGATAGTTTCCTCAAAAACAATTTTATTCACCCCATTTACAAAACTGCCATACATAGAAGCTCCTCCTCCATAAATGCAAGATCGTATGCTCTATAATACATCCGCTTAAAAATTGTTAGGGTTGAAGAATCAGGGCACGCCATCTGTATATCCTATTCATGCTATCAAAGAAAATTCATGCTTTTGCATGTTCCAAAAAAGAAAAAAAAAAATTAATGCCCCCTAATAGGAGGCCCTAAAAAACGCGTATTATTTCACACTCAAATTGAACTCTACTGTACCCGCGCAAAAAAAATTATACTTTCTACGTCGTCTTCAGTTTCCACCCTCGCGAAGCAAGCGTTTCACGAACCCTTTTAGCAGCATCAGCAGTATCGTTAAGGGGCGGATAGCTCCAACTTTCTTTCATCTGAAATTTATTGGCAACATTAACCCGGTTAAAACTACTGTAGATCTTTTTTTCATCGGTTGATGAAGTAATAGCTTTAGCTAACCACACTCTTAAAGCTAATGAATTCCATAGGTTTCTGATTAATAGCCCTCTTAATTTGTAATCAGTTTTTCACTCAAAAATGTAGATTCCAAAGCCTCCATCCTTCCATTATATATGCCATTATTCAATATGCCTTTGATAGGAAGTTGCCTTGCAAGCCCACCAAAAAAACATTTGATAGTTAAGCCATAATGACAATCAATAACTTACATCTTCAGACCCTGTGAATGGCCGAGCGACTCCTTTCTCTCTCAATGACTTGTGAAATTCTGTGAACTTCCACCTGCATCGCTCAGCTCCCATAACATAGACAGGCTTCCTACAACAGCAAAATTGTTACATTGTTAAAGAGATGGTACTAAAAAACTTGAATCGACGAAAGTACATAAGAATGTTTTGACACACAGATGCTTTTTCACGGGCATACCCAGTGCTGCAAGCCTCGCTTATCAGACTAACTGAATCTGCAGTGATAACAAATGCATCGGCCCAAGCTAGATGCCCCATACGGGGGTTTGGTTCTGAAAAACGTGGAGATCAATATCAGGGTCTAATGACCAAGTTAAACTAAAATTTGCATATTTAAGTAGATGACAGTTTTGAATAAATATTTACCTTGGCCATCCCATATATAAACTTTTGGATTATTTCCCAATTCCTTCACTATGATATTTGACAGCTGTTCAAAAAGGCAGCAGTGTCGGAAATAAAGAGAGATTCTCAAAATTCTTGTCAGAATCGTCATGGACACTATACCTTTTGCGGAGTCCTCTCAGAGAAGGATATTCTCACACTCCCACAGGAAACAAGAACACTGAGCAAAGACCTTGCTAACTGCTTTGCGAGATCCCCACCATATCGACAGTTTCCTATATATAAAATACAGAAATTACAATATTTAATCCACAAGTTTTACACGCTTCAGGTGTGACAAAAACCAAAAGTAATGGCAGAAATGAGCAGAACATTTGCTATGGTACTTCCATTTGTACTATTTAAGTTATTTCCACTGTCCAGCTTGCCAGGACTTGTCCCCCGTCCAATAATTTGTTTTCGTTCATCAACTATTGGTAAAATAAGCATTGAAGGAGGGCCATGGAAGTCATATTAGTGATATTACACCCCTCATCACATATAAAGGTGCTACTACCCAATGATCCAGCTCGGACAATGGTTGAGTAGTGCATCTGAACAGCTAAATTTGTAACTCCCATTCTTAAATCTAATATAACTTGAGACTATCGCCAATGCTAACAGATGAGCTTTTTTATAATGTTAATGGAAATATCTATCCCAAATAGCCATTAGAACTGAATTTACAGCAGATTAGGTGCTTATCCATCTGAAATATAGTTATAGACCTAACTATAAAAGCCAACCCCTTAATATTTATATCCACTTTCTTCTGAACTCGAACATGAATATTAGATCTCATGTAGATAGATGTGTTCGGTTGTTACCAGTTAATTAGGTGATTTAGCTCAATAAATGGAGTGCCTAGTTGCCTTTTATAAACTTTTCTTTCCTATTTCTCAACATCTCTGCTCTCCAGTATCCTTCTCCAACAATTCATTCCCTGTTCATGTTCCTCTTCTATTAGATGTTCACGGAGGGAATGGAAGGGATTTATTCTTTTTCAACCTCATGACCATATTCTTCGATCTCCTTAATAAATGATTTTGACCATTCCAGGTAGATTCTTCCTTGCTCCCTACATTTTCCCTTTATTTGTACATCCCGCTAGCCATCCCATCTTTTCCATTTTTTCACTGGATTTTTTAAAGAGTTCACAGCACTACACACTTACTTTGACATAATTATTAATACCAAATAAGATATTAGAATTTCACAAAAAAAAATAGAAGAAGAAATTAGACTGTAACAAATGTAAACTGCAAGAACACATCGGTTTTGGACATGCCCACTAGTAAGAGTTTTGCAGAAATTACTTGTTGGTCCTCCAATGTTGACCACGAGCAAGGGTCTAGGCACATGTTCAAAATCATCCCGCCATGTAATGGCCGCATTACGAAGAGCAGCAAAATCTATTTGATGCAGGGCCCCCATTGTGAGAACCTGAATTTACATTACCGCATAACTGGACACTCAGGAATAGACCACAGGTAGGATCAAAATAAGATTACTCTCTCTCATAACATTGCTATTTATGGTAATATGTGTATTATACATACCACATGACTATCAGGAGGCTCACGTGGAGTTATCCACTTTTGAATAAACCAAGGGACCTGTTTTTGTGCTTGTGGAGTCAAAGGATAATAATCATGTTTAGGTGTAATCACCATGTCAAACCTATCCAAATGTGACCTTGGATGTTGTATCTGCCCAACAAAATTAAAATCAGAAATCACGCAAAGAGCTTCAGATAAAATGCTTACTCAAAAATTCAAAGCATTAACTTAACATTTACTTGGAAAAAAAAATATACACATGGGGTTCGGGTTTCAAAGACAAAAAAATAGTTAGGCAAGCCAAGTGCCTTGGAATGCATTTATAACACCCATTTTGCCAATGACCTGCTGGATTTCATTCTAGAAGACTTTTAAAGGCATTAAATCTCTCACTTTAGAATCAATCAAAACTGACAACATCAGTTGAGGTCATACTTTAAAAAAAGCATATACAGCATGAAGAATGGAATCATAGTGATTATTTCTACAAAAAGAAAAAAATCACTATAAAAACACAATCACGTATCAGTTAAATATTCACCCAACTTATCTAAAATATCCACTAAAATTGCCTACTACAAGATGTCACAGAAAAGTTGAATGAAAAAATGAATTAATTTTGCAGACCTGAACAACAAAAACATTGTCAGATGCCAAGCGTTTGATTGAGCTAGCAACAGAAATTGTATCTCTTCCAGATGCAACCACCAGTAAGGGGCCCTCCCTGGATAAAAATATCAACCATATCAACCTTTGCAAGTAGCCAGAGATTGAGAAGAAAATACAAGATGGTGACTAAAGCTGAAAGGAGAAACAAGTGTAGGAATGATGACTAATATTACAGACATGGGAATCAGAACAATATAGCAATTAGATCTCGTCCAGCATCAAGTTAAACAAGCAAGAACGTTTTCATTTGGAGTAACAAAAGGTGTTTCCAACACAGATTGTCCATAAATCTTGGACAAGTTTGTGTCTAGCTCTTCTCCTTAATGAAGAAGGTCAAAGAGGGGCTGACAGATCTAAGCTGTATTAGTTAATCATCCATAAGAAATAAACTTCCAAATCAATTACTGCCTATGCAATGTAAAATTTTAAATAAACTTATAATTCATATAGACATCCAGCTCTTGTTGAATAAAAAGATTATTAATCACAAAACCATTTTGATATCAGTATCTGCAATTGCCATGACATGAGCAAACAGGGGGAAAACTAGACATACCAATGATCTGAAAATCATTTTAATTTACATTCAGTTATACAACTAAAAGAATAGAAATGGTATGTACTTCTCATAAGTTTCACGAGCCAAATTTACTATATGCTTCACATCTGCTTCTAAAATAGCTGATAAGCCAACACCATTTTCTGAAGGTAGGGGCATTAACTTCTTTTCCTGTGATTTCGTGAGTAGTTGAGAATAGCCATGAATCAGCCTTATTAAATAATATATTTTTCTGTGAAAAGAGACAGGAAGCCAGCGAAGCCAATCGTTAACCCCTCCCTTTGGCCTGGTAACCCGCTGCAATAATTCAGTCATAAATTGGTCAGCAAATTAACCTTTATGCTAGATGTTTTTACATGAACATAGTGTTACTAAAGGAAGACACGCATTGAGCCAGAATATGAACATTGCTTGAGAATAAGCAATAAATATACAACAACATGGCACAGCATATGTGGCTGCTTATTTAATCACTTCCTATATGCAAGGCATGGCTTTCAATTTTTATTTACAAATCAATGAATAACAAAGAAAACAAAACCAACTTTTCTCTGTATAAATGACAACAAAGAAAATACCGACTCTCAATCATAACAACATTTCTCACCGGACACCAACTACCAGTATCGGGGACTAAATATCACCAGGATGAAAACCTTATCTCATTTACCGGCATTAAGGCATTCATTTCCTTCAGTTCTTAGTTATCCCTATTCATTATTATCATCCTCATTACCACCCTATCCTTGAATGGGGTGGCCTTCCATATTTCGTCTTTTCTTGCTTTTACATTTCCATTTGCCAATTAATGATTGACAACCTTATTTTTGTCATTTTAGGTGTGTCTTCTCCTCTAGCTTACCGTCTTTCATGATTTGTTGCAAGATATTTTGGGAATAGGTGACTAGGCTCCACACAATCAGTAAGGTATGAAGCTAATAAAGCATTCCAGCCTCTAACAACCAAGATCATATAAATCCTTTCTCACTCTGGAGCTATGTGCTAGTCATGAGGGCTGATAGGCATAAACCTGAGGTCAATCCCAAACCAAATTTCTCCCAGCATCACCCTTGGCAAGTAAGACAAAGCGAAATTTCATCCCAATTAGAGGCATACTCATCAGAAAACAGCCTCAAAGGTAGTACAAGGGGCGATCAGATATAAAAGAGCCCCAGAAGTGTTGTTAATGTGAGTCTTGAAGTTTCTTATCACAAAAACATACGAAACATGAAGGGCATGCTAGCACTGCGTGGCCTTGCTACTCAGGTGTCAAGTTCCTATATTTAGCTTTGTGAACATCCATTAGGAACTTCTTTAGTTGCAACTGTTACTTTCATTTAGGCTTAGAATTACTATCTTCATCCCCAAAGGCTACCTTCTCACGTGTCAACTTGGTGCTTAGAAGCTGATGAGTGTTAAAACACAAACTACTAATTCGTGTATCCTAAATTACAATTGGTTCTCAACTATTAACTCTACAGGTTACATGGAAAGAACGAGTACTAGTTATTGGGAATAAAAGAAAACAAAAGGAAAACCCCCGCCCCTCTCTGTGAGAAGAGTCATGCCCCTTCAACTTATACTCTCCTCCAGCACTAAAAATGATGCCCTATACAGACTTCCACAATAACTGCCCTCTGAGATCAGAATGGACAGATGGGATTGGAGATAGCTGGCACATTGACAGCATATCAATTCTACCTGCCCAACCCCAGGGGTCCTATCCCTTCATGCTATCCAGAGAACTTAATCTGTTCACAGCAAACCGCTGATAATCATGCCCCACGCAGTTCACAGAGAATTTGTTTGTTCACAGTAAACCGCTGATAGACAGTATCAAAAGGGCAAATTCAAGATTCAAGACCAGTCAACACTACAAACGTCATAAACCGCTGAAAAATTACGCAACCGGCTACAATACAAGGACCCAATGCAGTGTCAAGAATAAACAACGTAAAAGTTCTCTTTCCAAGAAAGAGAGAAAGGCTTACGTATAAGACATGTTGATCAGAGAGGCCAAGGGCGCGAACTAATCCGATGCTCTGATTCTCGGAACTAGGAAATCCGTTTCCAATGACGACAGCGCGTCTGACAACGCTGTGGATTCCAGATTCGAAGATGTCCGGCGTACCCCTGGAGGTAGGGCTAGGCGGCTCAGGAAGTTGAATTGGTCTCATCTCATGGATTTGAATGGGAAAACAGAGGCAGAGCAGGCATGAGGTTTTAGGAAGCTATCTCACTCAGCAGAGAAGGTGGAATTTCCAGATAGAGAAGAAAACCAGAAGGGACAGTTTCCCCAACACTGTGACCTTGATGGGTCGTTCCCAACCGGAAAAGCTAACTTGTCAAGGTAACAGTTCCCGGCGAAATAAAGCGGAGAGGGCCATTTGCATGAAGCAAGGCCCGTGGGCTTTATTTAAAACAGAAGCCAATCAAATTCAAGTGGGCGGACATTTCACGACTTTTATAAGACACCGCGTAGCCCTCGTTTATCTACTTTAATTTTTTTTTGTTGGAAAAAAATTCATTTTACATATTTTTTTTAAATTTAAATAAGTCTTTATTAAGATTTTTTCTATTGTATCTTATTTACTTCAATAAATTTAATTGCTTTCCCAACTACTTCAATATTCAGTGCACTTATTAGGGGCAAATTTGACAATGTAATCAATATTTCTATGTGCTTGTTGCATTGCTTAATATGTAAAATTCAACTTTTTTTGACTTCCAGTCAAAACTTCTTTTGATTTATATTTTAAAATAAAAAGAGTAATGTTATTTTTATAAAGAATCAACACAATTAATATTAAGCTCAAGGGTATTAATAGAAATAAAAAGCACATGTATGTATGTAGTATATAAAGTATTAAAATCGATGCCTCGCATTCTCACAAAACGTGAGCTTCCATTTGATTCGCACACGGGCACGTGGAATTGCGCAGCTGGCACCCTAATTTGAAAAATACCTTCTTTCCCATAGGTGTAAGTGTAACACACGACTTGTAATTTTTAGAAATGAAAATGCATGTTGTGAAAATTTGGCGTGAATTTCATTTGGCGTATGTTCTTCCTGGTAAGAGAATTCCAATTTTGCGTCCCCGAGATACATGAGAATGAGAAGGGCGTGTTGTTTTAACTTTTAACCCTTTTCTGCGGGGGAACGAAGTAAAGCGGTCAGATCAGAAGCGGGATTTCAGGGGTAGAAAGGCGACACCTGTGGAAACCACCAAGCCCCGCAAGTGGAAGAGAAAACGGCAGCACAAGACAAACTTCCACATAGCGCTCACATTTTCTCGACACATATTGCAACTAACTCTCCTTCACTTCGCATCTTCAACTCTTCTTCCCCTCCTCCTTCAGATACCTAATTCTCTCTGCAACCATCAACACAGTTCTCAATTACTTATCCTTCCTTCCTTATCTTCACTCATGGAATCGCACAACCCGCCCCTGCCTCCGCTCCATCGCATCGCGGTGGCCCTCCGAACTCTTCGCCGCTCCCAATGGCTGAACCACATCCACCGCCACCACACTCATTCCCGATGCCGCCAGCATATCCGCCGGCTCTTTTGGCACATTGATAGGCTTCTGGTTTATATTCGCCGCCACAGGCTTCTCCCTGCATCGGCGGCGATCAGCCAAGCTCAAAGTGATGGCCACCGGCGGCAGGAGGAGGACGTGGCATTTATGCGCCTCCAGGACGTGGAGCTGCGGCGGATGCACCAGCAGCAGATTCAGGAGTATCTGACCCGAATCCGACATTACATAAGGCCGCTCCACCAGTACCTGCTGCGTCACCAACCCGGCCAGCTCACCAGCTACCACCAATGCATGAACATCCTCCACATTTTCACGAGCCAGCTCTGAAGTTCCCCTTTCCTCTGTAAACTGTATTCACATATGCCAAAAATAAACGTCAATAAAAATAGTTATTTACAGTGTTTAGCTATCTCCTTCCTGTTCTCTCTTAGCCAAATTCTAATCAGCTTGTTTATTTTACACTGTACAGTTACTATTGTATCAGAACTCTCTGTTCCAGTTTCGCCATTTATATGCTAGGCATCATGTTTTCATGTGGACTCTCTTGATTTCCAGTTTGGTATTCACATGTATTCAGGACACTTTTATTTGCCTTTCATTTATATGGCACCTGAGGAACGCAAGATTTCTCTATTATTTATCTCTGTTTTAATTTATTGGATTAATATTCAATTTTAACCTTGAACTAAACTCTAAACTTATATGTAATATATTCTGAACTCTAAATAATTAAATTTAGAGTGGTTTCACCTCAATAGATAAATTAATCCAAACTTTTTGTTACTTTTTTAAAAAATGAGGCCTTATATGTAATTTGAGTTAAAAGAGGGTGGGAGGGGGGGTTAGTGGAAAAATTGCACATCAGATTACATTTTTTTTAAAAAAATAATGAATGTTTATTTTAATTTAATAGTAAAAGTAAAATTATTTTAAATTTAATAATTTAGGATTCAGAATATAACAAATATGCGATTGAAATGTAAACCATCCTTTAACCTAAAGTCCATGACTTTATAGCCCAAATTGGATATTAATCTCAGTTTATTGTTACTTTGATATGTTACCATTTTTTCATAAAAAAAGCATCTTTCGATAATATATTTTAAAAAAATGTCAAAGATTAAAAGCGGGTAATAAAATTATTTGACCCTAATTACCCACACGTGTTTACTGTGGATAGGAATTCAGTGTTTTTGGAAAATAATAGTAGATAGTATTTTCTAATTTGAATATTTTATATTTTATATTTTCTTCTGCACTTAATCACCATAACTAAATGTACGTTTAAATTTAAAATTTGGGCTGAGTTGACCAATGAATAACACGACATCATACAAAATTTATTAAATATATCGAATGATGACGATCACTCCAGTTTAGACTACTGAAGACTAAACTAAACTGTTAAATTCCTGAATTAACATCAGCAAATTTGTAACATCTTAATTTTTATATAATAAAGAAATTATGGAATTTAGGTTTTAAGAAAAAAAATGATAATAATAAAAATTTATATTTTTTGAGGTTATTTAGAAATGATATTATGGTTAGGTATTTAATTATAAATTTAAAAATTTAAATTTAAAATCACATAAGCAATATTTAGTTAAGATATAATACATAAATAATTTTTATTGTGTGTTAAAAAAAAGAGAAGGTAGAAGGAACAAAAAAAAAGGGGGTGGAAGGTTGTTGTTTTTAAGTCCCACATTAGTTAGATGAGGGAAGAGAAGAGGTGCCTTCATGTATAAAAAGGAGGGGTTGTGTGCATTAGGAAGCATGAGAGGCTAAGATGTAATTTAGAGGAAATTGCAACTTTTGGCCCAAAGGTTTGAATAATTAAATTCAAACCTATAGTTTTTTTTTCTAATATAATTTTGGGACCACAATCCCATTTTTATATTATTTTTCTCTCTTCCTCTCACGTTGCTCGGCGTTTTTCTCACAAGGGAAATTATTTTCTTTTCTTCAGGTATGTTCTAACTTTCCTATTTAAATTAGCATTTAAAAATTTATTTAATTACAAAATTAATTTTATAGTTATTTTCTAAATAATATTAGCTTTCTAGTTATATGATTATTTTATAGGATAGAGTAAATATTCTGATTAAGATTTTTTTTCTATAGGATAGTTAATCTGATGATATGATGGATTAAAAATATAGGTTAAAACTCTTAGGGATATAATAAATATTATAGAATACTTTCTTGAGGTTGAAACTCATGTTTAAGAATTTTTGAGTTAAAATCTAGATCTATATGGTCGAATTTATGTAGAATCTGAGATGTAGGGATGAACCTCTGATTATTAAATATTTATTTAAGTATGAATAGGTATTTTTAAAGTTATAGAAAGGTGATTTGAGGCTTCAGGATAAATCTAAAATTTTTTAATTTATTTTTGGGCCAATTTTTAGAATATAGAAGGATGAAATTGCGATACTAGAAGTGATTTGAGGATAAAAAAAATAGTTTATTAGGGTACGAGAATTTTAGAAAAGAATTTGGGAAGTTAAATGAGGCATAAATCTTAAATTAGTGTTAATATGGATTATAGATCTAAGACTTTCTAACTATTTAAATTAGAGTTATTTATTTTAATGTAAAATTAATATATAGTATTGTGAAATAATTATGTAGATTATATTGACAAAGATAGTGGTGAAAAAGGAGTTGTGAAGGGGAACTTGTTATTCAAGACACAAGGTAACCATTATTAATGTGTTGTGATGGGTGTGTTTGTGAATGGTTATGTGTTGTTTTGTTGTTTGAAAAAATTATGAATTATTGAAAATAAATACTGTTATATACTTATGTGAAATCATTGCCAAGTGGGTTAAAAATTTATTTTTTGTTTATCATGATAAGATATTATTGTTCGGATATATTTCTGTTTGGATATTTGAATGATGCATGACTTGTCAGGGTATTTTAATGTATGGTGTTAATGAGAATTTCTGTTCGGTTAATTATTACCACGTGGTAAGCCCTCATTGGACCCAATGAGTGGCGTGTCGCTTGGTCCAACTTACCTTTGGCCGGGTGATTTGGCGTCCGAGCATGGCGAAAGGAGGATATAAGGTGCAGTCATGCAAATTAAATACTTGTTCGGTTTGTTTGAAAATATTGTTCGGTTAAATGTTTTGTGTGCCCACTTAGCAATCGCATGATTAGTTACATCCGCATGCATCATTACATATTAATTTTTGGTTACTGGGACTTTTAAGTCTCATTCCCCGTGGTTAATATTTTTACAGGAACGAATCCGGCCGAGAAAGCACCAGAGGTGTAATTATGGTGTATGAGACACCATCTTTTACGTTGCCTCTTATTTTGGATTATACAATGTATCTTGTGCCAACTTAGGACATATCTTATTTGTGGAGCATGTAAACTCTAATCCTTTTTATTAAATGCATTTATATGTCCAAGAGGATTATGTCTATCCCTCTTGATTCATGACCTGATTTAAATATCATGCCATGAGGATCCTGTCTGTCCCTCATGGTTCTAATTGTTTTTTTTTAGATATTTTAAGACCTGTGGTATATTGTCTTGGATGTACCATGATAGAAATTTTTCTACCATGATAAGGGTATGATGAGGGTTCAAAATAAAAAATAATAATTTGTTGAATTAATGATTTGCGAAAAATCAGTTTGCAAATTTGAGGGTGTTACATATGATGTAACAGCCCTCCTGGGTCACCACTGCCTCTCCAGGGTCTTTTCCCAGGCGCTGGACAACACACATGTCACCACATGATTGCCGGCTTCCCCAAGTGGTACCAGACTTCGCCTCAACTTCGTTAAGGTGGTAGAGGTTGGAGGTTCGAGTCTGGGGAGGTTCCAAAAGACCCCCGGTGGGGTGGGGTGAGGAATAATCACTGTACCACCAGCGGGGAAGCCGGCAATCATGTGGTGACATGTGTGTTGTCCAGCGCCTGGGAAAAGACCCTGGAGAGGCAGTGGTGACCCAGGAGGGCTGTTACAAAATTACTATTGCGCCAAAAGCTTAAGTTATACCACTTATGATCACGCGTCTGGTAATGCTCCAAAAAGCTGAATCAACTACAAGGGCAGGGCCAAAACTCACGAAGGTATAATAACTGAACTTGGTTTCAATGCTCATGAGGAGTTTATTGCTGTGATGAGATCTTGATTTAGATGGTCTAAATTTAAAATATTATTATTTATTTTTATTTTATAGTTATTAAAATAAAAAAATTCAAAATTATAAAATAATTTTAATAAAATTTTTATTTTTAATAATTTAATCTAATATTAAATATGAATTGTGTAAAGTTCATTTAAATAGTCAATATGCATTAATTATAAAAAATTTAATATTAAATTAAACCTTTCAAACTAAATTTAAACTATATTAAAAATAAAAAAATTATTAAAATTATTTTATAATTTTTATAAATTTTTATTTTAATAAATATAATATATAATAATATTTTAAATTTGAACCATTTAAATTTCAATCTCATCACAGAGCTCATCACTGTGAACATCAACCAAATAACTTAATTTCTTTTGGGTCCAATAGAGGACTTTTTTTTGGGCCGAAACAAATATTAAGCCCATCAATTATTAAAAGGGCAATGGAATAATAAATTCAACGAAACATACTGTATTTACATGCTCAAGTCTTGACAAATTCAGTAAGATCAAGTAATGTGATTGAAGGTTTTTTTTTTTTTTTGGTTGAACCAAAGTAATGTAATTGAAGTTAACTTTACATTTAACATGCGAATTTACTGGTGAGAATGTTATCACAGTGGAATGACTTGGTGATAAGATGAAGAATCAGATAAAATGGTTCAATTGTCTAGATGGTATATGTAAACATAAATCATCAAATTACTGAGTATTGATAAAATGTTATCATTCTTCCAAGCATAACGAGAAAGACAGGTATGAATGTACGTGTAGTTTATAATTTTTCCATCAACCAATAGATTCCAAAGCGAGATTGCTCATCATTCTAGCCAAAGGCAGAGGACACTTGGTGATAATATCAAACCTGGAAAGATTGGAGGCATGTCCAAACAGAGATAAGCTAAGGAAAGCTAATTCCCTCAGAGACAACCTTGAGGAGAGAAACCCTTGCCAGTAACAAGGTTTCAAGTCAAAAAAAGCATCAAAGAAACCCCTACTTCCATTCAAATCCAGCTTCAATAGCGTCTCCATTCCAAAACAGTAAAACTCTCTTGTGAATCTTCTCTCAATTGGCCAAAGACTATCCCAAACCTTAGCATAAAGCTGCTTCCCCCTGATCATCCTGGTCGACCCAAGGCACTCCACTATAGCCCGCGCCACAACCGGGGCTAGACCCATGGTTCGAGCCACCATGTACCCTGTTGAAGGATGGACTACCCCAGAGTTCCCGCCAAAAGCCATTGCATTTTGGGGAACCCTAGGAAGAGGCCCTCCCATTGGGATCAAACACTTCTCAACCTCCAACACGTTAATCACTCGTATGCCCAAGTGTCTCAGCCTGGCCACCATCCTTCTCTTCACTTCCATGTATGATAACAATGGACGGCTCACGAGGGAAGTTTCTTCCAGAAATATCAGGTTGGAATTAAATGGCATTGCATATAGGAAAGTTGGAAGCTTTTTGTTGTTCTCTCTCAAATATGGCTCATTGCCGAGATGGGAATCTCTCCAATCCATTAGAACCATCTTGTCTAAATCAAAAGGGTGTTCTTCCACTTCAGCCAAAATCCCATGAGCAATTTGATATCCGTGGTTTCTACGCCTAGTGTTGTACTCTATAAAATCACTGTTAAACCCACTTGCATCGACAACTAGACTAGCTTTGAGTTCAGTGTTATCATCACATAGAATCGAAGATTCAAACTCTTGGAATTCAATTTTCCATACCTTCGCTTTATAAAACACAACCCCGTTGGAGACACTTCGTCCGATTAGTTTCTCCTTCAGTTTCTTCCGACTGACCCGACCGTAAGAACGGTCCAAGTACTTGATCCTGCTGTCATCAATATAAACACAAGCCATGGACCATGTTTTGTCCAAGCAATCGTGAAGGTCCAGCTCCTCAAACTCGTCGAACCAGACACCATAGTTGTTGGGCCACAGAGAAAGCGGGTCGGGATCGACGCAACAAACCTTAATACCGTAGGTCGACACTTGCTCTGCCAAGCGAATGCCGGCTGGGCCAGCACCGATGACGACGACGTCGAATTTACGAGAACGATGATCGGATGGGTGAAGCAGGGGAAGATCGAAATCCAAGGTTTGGGTTTTGTGCAGAGGCTGTAAGTGAAGGAAATTACCGAACTTACTGGTGCTACTGTGGGAGGTGCTAGCTCTGATCTTGGTTGAAGACGGTGACGGTGTTATTGGGCAATGGAGTGATGAAGGTGGGGTTGAGTGGAAAATTTGATGAGGTGGTGGTGAGAAGAAGGTGGAGAGGGAAGACATGTTTCTGAGAGGCGGGTGATGGAGGAGAGAACAGAGAAGGCAGAAAAGAGGGAAGGAAGGAAGAAAGAGACAAGAAGGGATCGTGGAGTGAACCAAACAAATGAGATGCTCTCGGTGCTGATTTTGGCGCAACTTCATTTTAAAGCCGAAGATTTGTTTGGTTGGTCTGGTTTCATACTTCGGCCACGTTGGAGTGTTGGGCATAATCCTGGCTATCTGCAGGGAAAGTTTGCTACACCCAACGACATGTCCCCTTCACTTGAGGAAACTGAGAATCCCATTGAGGATAGGCTGAGATAGAGATGCAGACCCCTCTCAGGGCAGCGGAAGACTTTTTTTTTTTTTTCCTTTTTCTTTTCGTTTTTTTTTTTTTGCTTTCTTACAACAAGGAAAATATGATGGTATTAGGCTAATAGGTTAATTAAATGCAAAAAAAGATATTAAAACAAACTCTTTTTAGAGAGGGGGTAAAGTCTGTTTGTGGGGTTGGCCAGAGCATCATGATGCAGCAAACAGAACATAGTGCCTAGAGGGAGTGGACAAATTTTTGACAAAACGTGTCATTTGCATATTTGTGTGCGTATCTATTTTTGTCTCTATATTAATAAGAAAGAGGAAGATATTTTAATTTTAAATTTTAATCCAAAAATGGCATCTAGTTTAATATGTGATTGGTTAGGGAGTTAGCACTTCTACTCCAATTAAGGACTATATTTTTTTTTTTTTGTGAGTTCGACTATGACTCTGCTGCAAATAATGTTTTCACAAACATTTCACCATTTAGTGAAGGTTAAATTGTGCAAGACTTTCTTAAATTTTAAATCATGTATAAATAACTCTCTTAACTTTAAAGAGTTAATAATAAATTTATTTGAACTTTTAAGTTTATACAAATAACCCCTAATATTTAATTATATATCTCCTTAAACTTTATTTTTATATACATTTAAGTCTCTAAATTTTAATTAATATACGGATAATCTCCCTAAATTTTGAGTTATATATAGATAACTAATATATAAAATTAACATGTAGAGTTATCTGTATAAATATAAGAATTGAAGAAGGTTCATTGTAAAATTTTAAAGATTAAGGAAGTTATATATATGTGATTTAAAGTTTAGAGGAATAATGTATTTAGTTAATAGACAACCTCAAACTGTCTATTGAATATCCGTTTTCCTCTTCTGTTTTTTTTTTTTTTTGGGTCAGATTCAATTGGAGAATTAACCAACCGTAGCATAAAAAAAAATAGAGAGACAACGAGGAATCTTGGAGCGGACCTACATGGGATGCTCAGTTTTCTTTTCTCTTTTTTTCTTTTTTTTTTTGTTTGGTTTAATCTTTCGGTCGTGTCGGCGTGGCGCGCGTTATCTAGGGGAGTGCTAAACAAAAATTTGTTAAACTAGGGAGATGTCGATGTCGTCACCATGACAAGAGCAAAATACGAGTCCCATGAAGTGTAGGCCAAGTTGGACTTTGGAGTTCCAATGAACAAATCTGCTTTCAGTTTGCTTTCACATGTAGTGATACAAGTTTTATTAGAAGACTGGTTAGTGTTTAGTTGGGGATTTAGATCATGCTAAATCTGCGACGCATTCCAATTCTTAACATCAGAGAAAGATGAACATGCAAAATGAAATTAAAGAATTTCTTCAACTTTTAATTAAGCAAATATAAGATTAAAAATTGAATTAAGAAAATGCTATATTTTAATTACTCCTTCAAGTAATATATATATATATATATATATATATAAAAGAGAATTTAGGAAGCCTCCTCTTCATCCTAAATATAAAAAACTAACTACCTCATTTATTACAAAGTTCTTCTCACATTCTTCATTAAGGCCCTGTTTGGTTGGAGGATAAAATTTTTCCTCCCCTCCATCCCCTCCCCTCCTCTTGAACCAAGTGTGACCTAAAAGTATGATAGCTTTATATGTAGCATTAAACTTTTAGTAAAAGTTCAAAATTAACTAAGACATGTTTAGAAAATTACAATTTGTAACATCCTTATGAAAAGTAAATGCTTCCGTTTTTTTCTTTTTTTAACCAACAAAAAGTGAATACTTTCAAGTAACTAATTTCTTTGATATTCGTAAGTTAGTTGCTTGTTTTTCGTACACAAGATTTGAGATGGGAGATGAAATGAGAGAGGGGGATAAGGTGTAAAGAATATAATTAAAAAAAATACAGAGTGAGCCCACCATTATATTTCATTATTAAAAAATATTTTAAAAGATTAGGTGAGCCAAAAGTGAGACCTAAATTTTTAAACCACATTAACACCGATGGCACCAAGCAACAAAATTCTTAAGTTAAAAAGGACAAGTCACTCATTCAAGTTTAAAGTGCTCAATGACAAGTTGAAGGATAAAAATAATACTCAATTATTATAAAATTAAAAATTATAATTCATAAAACTTGTGATAGATGTAATGATTCATTTATTTATGATATGAGTTATTGAATTTTATCATAACATAAGAAATTGGATAATTTAGTTTATTTTTGTTCTCATCTGATTAATCCATTATATTCCTATCATTTCCAGCAATCAAAAACTCCTCAGTCATCTTTTAATCTTCCTCAAGTAAAGCCAAAATGCTTGTTCAAGAGGAGGAGGAGGAAGAGGAGCCTGTTTCATCATCATTTGTCGCCAATAAGCTCACACATACAAGGCATCAAACCAGTATCGTATTAAAAAGCGGAGGATCAAACACCAAACAAATACTTGAACGATTATAATTCTCCCTGACCTATGCTGCCATCATATTCCGATCCAGCTAATTAACAAATAGCTATGGCCATAGCGTCTCCAAGCACACTCCATGCAATTAACCAAGAATAATTATTTTAACCTACATAATAAAGCAAAATGGTAAGAATCCAGACATTTACAGCGGGACGCCTCTTAATCACAGAATAGTAACTAATCAGACTTCAGCATACACTTGTGATACTGCACCAAAAAAGACACGAGCAATATATATATATAACTGTTTCTGGATCCTTGCAGATGGATGTCACTTCCACTCGCTCAACTCAAAGACTGAACCTGATAAGCTTAAATCTTCTCAGATATATATTGGCATGAATAATCTTGATAGTTGCAAGCCTCCGAAATATTAAACAGCAAAAGTGTCTAATCAAGATCTGCAGGATGGTAAAGTGATGCCTCCACAACAAGCAGCAATTATGAAGTAAAGAAATAGAACAATCAAGAATGTCAACAATGCCCTGTCAAAGAACAGAAGCAAAATTGGTTAAGGCAAAATTTGATGTGAGCCATTGCATCACATAATCTACGATGTAAATTTTGAAAATTTATACTTTTAGTACAAATCATAGAAAAAACCTATGTACTTACAAAAGTTTGGCATTTTTCATCCAAAGAGCTCTTCGGAGGCGCTTGGATTGTTTCCTGAAGTGAAACGAACTGTCTTGCATTGTTGCTGTCTTATCCACAAGAAGCTCAATCCGGTCACCTCTCTCCAATATCTTCTCAATATTTTCCACCACGATAGTGCGAATCTGAATGACAGATTATAAGCTCTAATGACCCCCAATAAGGCCAAAGGAATATTAACCATCATAAATGCAAAAAGAGGATGCAGATCATGCCAGATACAACAAATGGCAAGGAAAGATGAGGAGGGGGGAAAGGATGCAAAAAGCTTGGCTAGAATAACACTTGCCTCACCAACTTCGCTCCTCACGCGGTTGAGAGTATCTGCACTAGAACTACAAGAAAAAAATTCCATTTGCTGATGTAAAACCCTTGAGAACTCATCATTCATTGCATAAGCTGGTGCATAAAGGGCCACTCGGCTGTAATTCTTCATAAACCTCATTTGAATATCTTCCAAGTAAGCAAAAGGAATTCTCCCTAAGCCAAGCAGAAATGAGACATCACAAAGTTAGAAAAAGAATCATGAAGAAACAACATCACAGCTTAAAAATGAATATCCAATCGAATTCAACGCTTATTTAGTGAAGAAAATTAGTCAAAGTCATATGAAGGATTAAATAAAGTGGTGAACAGTAGCTCTTATGTTAGTAGAATTCAAACTATCTTACAAGGGATAACTTGTTTATGGAATTTCCAAAAAGATGATCAATATTCACCTGCACCAAACTCTTGTAGTGTTTGTTTCCAAGAATACTCAATATCCTTTGATGGGTAGTTAGGAAAAATTTGAAATTCTCTCCAGGTAGTAGTAAGGATTTCAGAAATGTAAAAGATGGAAGCCGAAGAAGATTAGTAAAAGCAGAAAGCTAAAATTGAAGCTGGACTTAAAAACACTTCCTTCTTTTTTAGGACAGGAAACTTTTCACAAGGGCTCTAGTTCTACAAATGATTAACTGTAAATCAACTCCAAATTAGAAGAGAAAGACCCCAATCCTGTGAACGGGCAGTATGATTTGTAAATATTTCTAGAATGCTACCCACTGATGTAGAGTTTTGAGGGGTAAGATTTGTGAGTGTGATACAAAATAGTTCCCTGCATTCATATTGCCACAAAAGGGGGGGGGCCCCTGCACTTGAATTTTTATCAAATATAAGCAAAATACTTTTCAAATAAATATTACAAAAATGAATCCAAGCAAAACCAAACAGTGATGCCAAGTGAATCAATAGCATACAAGCTAAGCCCGCCCACTCACAGTGCGAATTGCACAAAATAGTGTACCAAGTACTGATACCAATGTGCATCATGGAATATCATGAATTAGGTAACATAGGTCAGGAGACAGCCATAAAATTGATATGTGACCAGTTGGTGTAAGGTAAAAGCATTACCATTATGAAAAAGAATTTGTGCTTCATAAACTTGTAAACAAGGACAAATAACTAGAACGCGTGCATAAATTTGCAAGGAGAATGAATCCATTGAATTTTATTTCTGTGAATTCCTTGTAAAGTTAGAGAGAAAGAGAGAGTGGGTGGGAGATCCAATCTCCTTTGCAAGGTAAATGGCAAGTTAGCCGCATGAGTCAGTGATAGACTTGTTTAAGATAGATGGTGCTTGGTACAGGCTGCTTCTGGAAGCCTTGTTGAAATTCAATGTTCCCATGTTTCTGAAAGAGAGAGTGGGTGGGAGATCCAATGTCCTTTGCAAGGCACATGGAAAGTTAGCTGCATGAGTTAGTGATAGACTTGTTTGAGATAGCTGGCGCTTGGTACAGGCTGGTTCTAAAAACCTTGTTGAAATTCATGTTCCAATGTTTCTGAATTTCAAGCTGCAGCTTGTTCTGGTAATCAACAAAAATTAGACAATTTGGGTTTGCAATAAACAGGAAGTCAAGTGATGCTGGACGTTATGCAATCAATGGAGTGCAGTGGAGTAGTGTGGTTCAGTCAAACAATTGAAGGACGAGTTTTCTTGAAATTACCATGTACAGGTTTTTCAGGGTATTTTGCTTTGAAGTTTGAAGCATTGTACAGGAGGTAGGAATAATCTGTTTTTCTGGAATGTTTGATGCTTCATTTAGAACTTTTCGATAATCTCTCTTACAATTTCCAGAGAGGAATATTTTTAAGAAAGTATTGACTAGACTAAATGTGTGCCACGCACGATCCGTGTGAGGGCTGTGGGATTGAAACGCATGGTAGCAAATATTGAACAATGGAAGAAGTTTTGAGTACAGAATGATAGAGTGATGTCCTCTGTAGATTGCGAAAGACTGCAAAGAATATCTATCTTTACCAAAGCTGAATTCCAGCATTGCCTGGTTTCTGCTTAATGAATTCCGGTTCTTTCTTTTAAGTACTGAAATTTTGTGCTCGTTAATTGGTTGATAATGACAAAAGAATAGGAAAAAAATTATATTCGTTAGAATAGAGTCTATAGACACTCCCCATTTCAGAGACACGATATAACCAGAACTCCACCAGGTCAAACCCTAAATACTTTTTTCCACCAGAAACCTCACTTCCCTAGACGTTTATTCAGCGCGTGTTACCATGCCTACAGGATATACAATAACGATATACCCACTGGACGAAACGTTTTCCAATGCTCACTGGTTACTATAAAACGAATGAACGAAAACACAATCAGTTCAGGAAATGGTCAGGAGGGGAATGAGACTAACTTCCAAAGGTGTCGTTGGCCATACAGAGGTAGGTTAGGCCATCGGATCGCAGTATGTGAAAGATATAACGATCCTGAGAGAAGCAGAGCCTGGAGTCGGCTTCAGCCGGCAGCTTCTCCAGAATCCGGCGAGCCACGGCGCCCGTATTGCCAGTGACGGCGCTGAACTCCGCCAGCACCACCGTACCTCTAGCCACCAGAGCATAAAGAATCGCCATCGGGAATTGGCGGTCTGGCAGAGCTTTTCTGTTCTCTCTTCCTTTTCTAGTCTAGTTAGATCTTCGAGGCCTCATCGTCACGGGAGAAGAAGGACAAGATTGGAAGTTTGAATTCGCTGGCGATCATTTCTTATTTTATTAGTATTTTATTATCGCATCGTGTTACTCCTATTTTCATTATGTTTGGAGAGGACAGGATCGTAAATTTATAATTCTCATCATCGTTGTCCGCCGGTAAGTCCACGTCCATTACTGGCTGGTTCTGTATTAAGCCCTGACTAAACTTTTACATGGAATGATGCTTGTCTTTGTATTGTTAAAAATAAATAAAAAATAAAAAACTTTTACATGGACGAACGGATTAGGTGGAAAGGATTTGGTATTTTTAACTTGATTTTAGGTTTTCTTTTTAGCTGGAATTTTAGTTGGATCTTTATAAAGGAAAAGTTTCACAAGCTTATAAATTTTTTAATCAATATATACGGCATCGATATAAACATTATTAATTTAATTTAAGTAGCCTAATTTAATATTAATTTTTAAAAAAATTTTACAAATAAATTATTTGAATATACTTTAAACAGTCTAAATTTAATATTAATTTTTTATAATTTTTACATTGATAAATAAAATATTAAAAATAAAGATAATTTTTTAATAGTCACTTTTTAAAAAAGATTTAAAAAATTGCAAGTTAGAAATTTTAAATCTGGATAGTTAATTTATAAAAATTATTAAAATTTTTAATATTAAATTATCTAGATTGAATATATCTAAGTTGATGAAAAATATATTTATATTCCTTTTTTCATAATTTTTATATTTTACTAAATATAAACTAAAAATAAAAATAAAAATTTTGAATCTAGATCATCCTAATAGATTATTTAGATAAAAATTTGGACAATTTATCTCATCACCCTGACTAGGGTGATGAGAACTCAAGTTGAACATGATCAATATGTTGATTTGTGATTTAAAGCATTCACTTAAAATTTTTTTGCGGGTTTTTTATTTTACATTGCAAGGGTTTGTTCAACTATTGACCATTATATACTTATCCTTACTGTCGCATTATCTAGTTCATCACCATGTCCTAGCCGTAATACATTGTGTTTTTGGATGTAATAATGAAGAATCCTTGAAATGTTCATTTTGTGATTGTTCTTTCACAAAAGCTATTTAAAATAGCTTGCTTGGTATTGGAACTTGTGAAATTTCTTCCATAGGTATTGTTAACTGGATCATTAACATATCAACTGAGTTAATTCTAGATAAGAGATTTCAACACTTATAAGGGATTTTTTTTTTCCTTCGTCATCTTCTTTGGTTCAAGAGAAATCAAGCGCTACATGGATCTTTTAACTTTTCTCCCAATCATGTAATCAAAGAATTTCAAGGTGAATTAGAATTTCTCAAGAATGCGTGCTTAAAGGTTTTGCAGGAACCAAGGATAACTAAGGCAAATGAAGATAAGAATAATAAGATACTTTTCTTTAAAATAGACATTTCAACTAACCATCTCTCAAAGATGGAAGATTGGAATAACAAAGCTCAAGAAATAGAAAGTTATTGTTATGGAGCTCTAATTTTATACAACTCTAGAGAACTTTGCAAATTTCTCATCGGGCATGCTCACCACAAAGATCTTGAATATTTCAAACTTGCATACCCACAAGCAATTCTAGTTTGGATTAGGGGTGTTCATAGGTTCGGTTTGGTTTGGTTTTGGGCAAAAACCAAACCGAACCGAACCATTCGGTTTACTGATAATTGAGACCTGATCGGTTTTTATGAAGTTCGGTTTGGTTCGGTTTTATTTTCGGTTTGGTTCGGTTTGGTTAAGGTCTTGATCAAGTTTTAATGGACTTGTTTAATTTTTTTTCCTTTTCTCCATTTTCATAATGGTGTTATGTACTAAAATTAAATTTAATTCTTTTTGACTCCTTTTTTCATAAATAAAGGTATAAAAATATAATAAAATTTCAATGTGATAACAATAATTAATCATAAAAATTAATATAAGTTTTTAAGATTAAAATTATTTAATATTATGTATTTTCGTTAAAATCCTTTAAAAATGTTTATCTATGTATCTATATTTTAATAAATAATGAAAAACTTATTATACAAAATTCAAAACAAAATGTTTTTTGTAGATAAATTGAATGCTGAGACTTTTAGGTTGTAAATAATTAAATGATGATCATAGTATGATTATTATAATCACTTAATATTATGCATTTTCATTCAAGTATTTTAAAAATGTTTATTTATTACTATAAAAAATTCAAAACAAAATGCTTCTTGTAAATAAATGGTTTTATATTTTACAAATAAATAAATAGAATTTTTTTAATCAAGTTTGGTTCGGTTTGGTTTGGTTTCTTGTACTCAAAACCGAACTTGAACCGAACCAATCGGTTTTTATATCATAAAAACCGAAGCGGACCTGATTGTTGTTCGGTTTTGATCGGTTTTTGTCGGTTTGGATTGATCCTTTCGATTTGGATCGGTTTTGAACACCCTTAGTTTGGATCCTTGAATTCGTGAGCGAACTGGAACAAATGCATAGATTGGATAGTTTATTGATTGAAGCTTATCGAGAAAACTACAATCCAATCAATTGCAAGACGAACAGCTTCACACAAGATAGAATTCATTTTTTCAAGCAATTCAACTCTATCCGAACAGTGAAACCTAACCATCAATGGCCTATAGATTCCTTTTTCTGTTATAATTTTTCTTTTATAAATATTCAGCTGTAAGATATTATATTCTTATTTCTTAATATAATCTTTTGACCTTTAAAATATATACATACATGCATGCATACACACACACACATATATATTCAATGATCAACCATCTTTTAAAAATTTGCACATTAATTTTTAAAAAAATGACAATAAAATTTTTTTAAATTATGTAAATAATAATTCAGTCCATCAAAATGCTATAATATTAATGAAGTTTTCAGGAATCTCTCTGTCAATAATTTTTTTTAAATATCATTTTACCTTTACTGAAAATAGCGAGACCCAATCATCAATTTTGTTTAAAAAATCACAATTTTTATTTTGTAAATCACAAGAGTTGAATAAAAAATTATAACTTATCAAATGTAATTTCTATTATTAAAAAACATGCTCCAATCATAACTTTTATTTTGTGAATCGCAAGAATTGAATAAAAAATTATAATTTATCAAGTGTAATTTCTATCATTGAAAAACAAACTCTCAAAATAACATATTCCATTTACAACTTTTATTTAAAAAATTATAATTTTGTAAAAAAATTACAAGAATTAAACAATAAATCATAATTTGTCAATAAGAGTAAAATGATTTTTTTTCGTAAAAAAATATTGATAAATAAATTCTTAAGGACTTTCAGTGGTATTATGACATTTTTAAAAATTAAATTATTATTTACATAATTTGAGAGAAATTTTATTATTATTTATTCTTAATTGTATTAAATACCCTTTGTGGCAATTTTTTAAACTTATTTTCGAGATAAGATGTACTTTTGATTTTGTGCCAATACACTTCAGACAAAATCCGAATTAATATGTTCAAGATACATGTGCAGAAAGGCAATTAATTTTCACGGATCACCGCACCGGAGGGAATTAGTCAAATGTTCCTGTATTTAGTCCCGAATGGACGGGGTTTTTATCTTTCACGTTCTCACAGCTGTCAGCCAACGATGATATATCTTGACACGTGTTTTGAAAAATAACAAGACAAATTCAATTTCACCGGTGACCCGTTCACATCAACATATATAGTAAATGGATTTATAAATAGACAATTACTCTTGAGATGGATACTGAATTAATTAATTAATACAAAAACGACGTGTAATATCTTTTGCAGAGTGCGGAAAAACTCCTAATTGCTCCGATGAAGAGACAACGACTACCCGATTGGTTTCCTAGGATCTTAATATCCACGTTATTTTTTGGGGAAAGAATAAATTCTTCTCTATAAACAAAATCAAACACGACTACTATGTTACAGATTAAACGCTTATTATCAGGTGCGCCTAGAGTTAGAGGCAACTAATTAAGTTGATCTCATTCCCATAATCATCAGAGCCAATTAAGCTGTTCCCATTCCCACAGAGGCTCTCGTACAATCTCATCATTGGCATTCCGTTCTGCAACTTCTGCATGGTCTGCTCCTGAGTTTGAAGTGTCGGACGACGAGCTCGCTCTCCGACCTTCGCCATCAGGAATACTAGTTGCGGCACCAGAACCAGAGGCTCCGTCCCCTTGAAATGGCCGTCGATCAAATGCTCTGAAGCTCCCCGATATCACATAAACTCGGCACAAGCTGAATTCGTGCCTCAACTACAACACACGCACCCAGATGAATCTTCCATAGCGAGTATACATATACGAAGAAAGCCTTACGTAAAGAAAGTGGTGATCAGGATATGTATGTATGTATGTACGTACGTACCGTGGGAATGGAGGCGGCGGAGTTGGAGGGTTCAATGGCTCTGTATTCATGCATCTTCCACTTGGTTTTCCTGCCGGTGGGAGCTTTGCCTCTGTAAAAAACCATGTTTTTCTTCACGCCGATCACCTTGTTATCGGAAGAGTAAACGTAACCCGGAGAACCGGTGGCTTTCCAGTATCCCGAAGTGGTGGTTCTGTTGGGCCTCCCTCCTCTTGCTTCTCTCTCTTGCCTCGGCGAGAAGAAGAACCATTGCTCTGTATCCAGGCGACATGCTTCTCCAGCAAGCTCTGCACATATGCACAAGTAATATATCAGACACGATGAAATGACTCTGACATATACGCTACATTATTAATGATGACAAGGGAGTGAATGAGTACGTGGGAGTTGCCAGGGCTCGACGTTGTAGATTTGAAGAACAGGGATGACTCTGTCCATGTCGGGTCTGAGACCTTCGAGCTTGTTGTGGAGGTAGAAGGAGACGAGCTCTTCTTCTGTTGGGTAGAAGCGAAAACCAGGGTAAGGAGCCTCCATTGGGCTACGTGATTATGTTGATGTTGTGGATTTAGTTGAGATTTGCATGTTTTGAGATGAGATGATGTAGAAGTGAATATATACAGTCACGAAAAAAGTAAACAAGAAGTGGTGGGGACAGGAAGATTGAGCGTGTGAAGTTAGAAATTTTGGCGAGAGAGGGCGATGGAAGTGGAAACTTCCACGCGGTTGTGGCCTTGTGGGAGTGAGAATGCGTCTTTGTGGCCCAAAAGGAATTTCCCTTCTTTTCATTGGCTCTATGCCTGTCCGAGTGTCTGTGATATCCAATGACCCTTTTTGAACAAGTCGTTGGCTTTCTGGCACTTTTAACTTTCTAGTCTGATGTGTCGTTTTGTTAATACATGCCATCTTGCATCCAAGATTTTTTTATTGGGTCTTATTCTTTGCATTCCGGAACACCATGGCTTAAAGACAATTATGCAGAGATCAACCAACAAAATTTTTATCTATAAATGCTTCTATAGGTACTTGTTCAATGTGAAAATATATTCTGATCCTAATAAATTTCCAAAACTTATTGTCTAAATTTTTTTTATTAAAAAAATTATACAAAGATCAAAAATTATATTTTCTCATAACCAGCTTAATTGAAAGTAACTTCTTCAAATACATTTTTATTTATATACATTTTAACTCAAAATCTTACAGTTAGATAATTATAACTCCTTTCACTTGGAGTGCACCAGCGAGTAAATTAGAGAATGCATTCTTTTTTTTTTAATACAGAAGAATATTTCATACAACGATTAAAAAAAAAAAAAAACACAAAGCTTCAACAGCGCATCCTGATAAGAAAAGTAAGTAAAACTGGTGGAGACTCAAAGAAGTTGGAATCAGTGGGAAGACTATGACACGGAGTAGCAAGATAATCTGCCTCCCTGTTGTCCTCCCAATACAAAAAATGAAAAAAAAAAAAAATCCAATTTCCTATATCGCAATCTTCCCCGTGGCATCAATGATATGTTGAAAGGGATGATAATTATAATTGTCCCTTAAAATCATGGAGATAGCCTACACATAATCACGTAATATCTCCACTGCCCTGTCATAATTTAGCCCTTTATAGATATCATAAATTTCAGAAATAATTGGAAGAACATAGCCCACCTTGTTATTAAAACCCACAATCCGACTTCCATTCCTATCTTTTAGAATTCCACCACGGGCACCTTGCGCCAGGACCACGATCTCCATTCCAATGGCATTGAAGCCATGCCTATATGTAGACTCATATATGTGTAAACCCTTGGAACTTGTTTGGCTAGAGAGGAGGAAAAATTTTAAAAATATTTTTTGTTGAGGAAAATTTTTTTAAAATTTTTTCTCTCATTCTCTCCAAAGCTTCCTCCAGATTGGAGGGTTTCCTTCCCCCTTTCTCTTCCACTCCCCTCCCTTCCGGCCAAATATAGCCTCAATTTTAAGAAGAGAATTCATTCCATTACAACCCGACTAAAGTTGGAAGCTGTGGATTTATGATACGGAACTGTATTAGTTCCCTTTAAGTAATATTTTCACTTAGTTGCTTGTGAGCTCTGGCTTCAGGTCGATATATTTGATATTTAACTAAAAAACATTTGATTTGGCTGTAAAAGGCTTAAATACTTGTAAAAGTGCTTTAAATTTAAACCTTGTACCATTAACGGTCGGGTTGGGACTTGAGAGCGAACAAAAATTAAAGCATAAAAAATTGAATAGTAATATTTCTTGTGTCATTGTGCATTGTATAAAAAGTTCCCCTTTCTTTTAGCGCACTTTTAATTTTTCTCTTTATAGACATAACATGAATCCAACCAAAAAAACCAATATATCCTTAGCTTTGCTCATGCACTGGTTCTCCGGACAACAAAATCATTACTGTGTAATGGCCTTGTCTCACTAGGAAAAATTGAAAATGGTTTCTTCAACACTTCACCGATCCAGGAACAAGACATCATCATTTCGTCTGTTTTTTGCCATCTAAGCATGACATGGCGCATTCAAGATATGAGATGGTGCTCATGGTTGTGGTGAGATTTGAGTCATTCAAAGTTTAATCTGGATGTTCTAAATTTTAAATATTATTATATATTATATTTATTAAAATAAAAATATATAAAAATTATAAAATAATTTTAATAAATTTTTTATTTTTAATATGGCCTAAATTTAATTTAGAGGATTCAATTTAATACTAAAATTTTTATAATTGATATATATTGACTATCCAGATATACTCTACACAGGCCAAATTAACTGTAATATAGCCTGTGCAGAGTACATCTAGATAGTCAATACATATCAATTATAAAAATTTTAATATTAAATTGGACCCTCTAAATTAAATTTAGGTCATATTAAAAATAAAAAATTTATTAAAATTATTTTATAATTTTTATATATTTTTATTTTAATAAATATAAAAATAAAAATATATAATAATTTTTTAAATCTGGACCATCCAGATCAAAATCTGGATGGCCTAAATCTCATCACAATGATGAGCACTGAAACTGATCTCTTCAAGATATGAGGTTTTTTTTTTTTTTTTACTTAGAGGGCCTAAATCTCATCACAATGATAAGCACCGAAACCGATCTCTTCAAGATATGAGGTTTTTTTCTTACTTGGCTTAGAGGGAAGGGATAAGACTTGACCCATTAAAACTTTTGCCCTGATGAATTATGAAAAAGAGCTCGATGTACTTTGAAAGGGATTCAGCCATTGAAATTTAACCACTAATAAATATAAAAAGAATTGGACCAAAAAATTACTAATAAAAAAGTATTTTCATTATCCGAAAACAATTATTCCAGGTGAGACCCCATTATATTGTTGAGGGAGTCATATATTATAATAATAAGTAATGTCAAGGGGACTTGGTCTTTGTATCTAAATTTGGGCCACGCGAAGCAATGTCAACATTTGCTTGATACCCCCGTACAAGAATATGACCTTTTTATTGAAAGATCCATTTGACATTTGACATCTCTGTGTTCTAGGGTCCATGGATGTTTTGCTTTCCCTAATAATAATATAACGTAAATAATTCCCAGATAAATTTTAAATTAATTCACCAGAAAAATTCAACAAAAGTCTCCTGCGTTTGCTTCGCGAACTGAAGACTTCGGTACGATGTGTCATACATTTTTGTCCCCAGTGTATGGACCGAATCAACTTACAGACATAGAAAACTTTTTTTTTTATGCTGATGAAATCTACAGATTGTGACTATAATTTACAATTACCCTGATATAATAGTAGTAGTATTCTTCCCAGGATAAAATGCTACGGTACACATTGTGCACCATGGTGACCCAAAAAAAAAAAATTCCTGTTCCGATTGGGAGGGACCTTTATTTTTTTCTCCCAAACAAACAATTTTAATCTTTACACGGAGAAATTGAATTATGTAAAGAAACTCGTGTACTCTCTCTATTTATAAATATAAAGTATTTTTAATTAAATTTTATTTTTAATAAAATATTTATTTATCTTTAAACTAATAGTATTTTTTTATTTATCTTTATTTGATAACTTGGCATATTTTTTATACTAATAACCATTGAGCAGAATGGCAAATGACATGATACCTTTTTTTTTGGGGAGGGGGGTTTATCTTTATTTGATAACTTGGCATATTTTTTATACTAATAACCATTGAGCAGAATGGCAAATGACATGATACCTTTTTTTTTGGGGAGGGGGGGGGGGGGGCTAAAACAATGACACGATGCTGTTGAATACCAACTAACATGGTTTTTTTAATCTGTAATCCGGTTGTCCAGATTCAAAATCATCGAGAGCGAGTAACCCCAGAGTGCGTGGGCATTAAGTTAGAGTCAGGACTCAGGAGGGATGAGGGGCGGAGAGCGTGTGTGTACAGTATATAATATCCTCTTCAGTCTAAAATATAAATATTTTTTCAATTAATTTTAATTCAAAGCATAAACAACCTACTATATATTAAAAAAAATCCATATTTTTCCTTATATTTATTAACCTACATTCTTTTATAAATTTATCTCTCACTTATAGAGTTATCAATTAAAGCCGATCCCATCGAGTCAGTCTTTTTAAGCTTGAAAATAATTAAATCCGGGCCACTATTTTAGAGTGAAAAATGATAATTCAAACTTAAAAGGGCCAACTTTTTTAAGTCTGAAAATAAAAGGGTCAACCTTTTAGGGCTAAGTCAGGCCCTTTTAAGACCTTTTATTATTTTGTTACAAAAATTATAAAATAGAAAATAGAAGATTAAATAGATAACTAAAACAAATGAATATATTAGACTCATTTATCTCTCATTCATTCATTTATTAAGATTTAGTTGATAATATTGGTTAAATCTAATTTTTATTGATATTAATTTTGATGTTGCTATTTAATATTAGACTGGATATTTAAGTTTTCTTTATTAATTGTGGTGTGAATTGATTTAAATTTATTTTTAACCTTAATCTTATGTGTAACAATTTTTTTTAGAATTATAAATATATATTTTAAAATTTTAAATTGAAAAAAAAGGGGCTTAGGTCTTGAGGGCCGGCTCTTCAACCCTTTAGGACTAGGGTTGGGCCTGGTCCTATAAAAGGAAGCCCTAAAACATAATCAAACTTATTAAAATTACTTGTTTAGGCTTTAACTCTTTAAGGGCCAATATTAATTGACAATTCTATCCACTCATCATAAAATACATTGATAATTGAGACTAGGGATAAAAAAATATAAATTTTTATGAAAATATGAACTTTATTTGTATATGCAAATTTTTTAAAAAACTTTTTACATCTTAGACTGAATGAAGTATTTAATACCATATTTTAATTCAAAATACTAAGAGAGCGAGGTTGTGGACCTTTTAATATTAAGACTATAAATTTGACACGAATCCTTACCAAATCAGGGTTGGGCCAGTTTTAATCAACGCAACCTTCTCGCGTTAAGCCGGGTCCACATTTTAACATATTCAAATAGTGAATGCAGCCAGCGTTGGGATGTAAATTAAGTAAGTGACACGCAATTGTCATGAACTAACAAAAAACAAAGTTAGAGGTAGGGGTAAATGCAAGATTCCAATTGACATAATCCTACTCACTCATTGAGTATCTCAGCTACATAGTAATTAAATTATATTAATACTTAAAAATTGTTAAGATAAATTTTTTTAAAAAAATTTAAAACAATTATTAGGATTAAAATATTTATATGTATATTGTCTCTCTCAAAAATTTAAAATTTAATACATTTTGAGTATTATGTGGCAAAATTTCTAATAAATATTTAATTAAATTAAATAATTATTATCATATTATGTGATGTGAAATGTTTATTAAATGAATGGACTTAAAGCCTATTCGAACAGCTCTCAAAAATATATTCAAACTATATTTAAGATGTGCTTTTATTAAATTCAATAAATAATTAAATATTTCAAATACTTCCTTCATTAAAAAGGGTTAGATGTTAAAAAATATAAAGTATTTTTAATATTTTAAGATGTATTCTTATTTTTTTAAAAGTGCTCATATTAAATAAGTCATTTTATATTTATTTTAAAGTAAAATACTCCATTAAATATGAATAAATATAAAATAATGAGATTAATTTAAATATAGATAATTATTTTATTAAAAATGAGATTTAATTAAAAATATTTTATATTTTTAAATGAAGAGATAATATTTTTTTTAAATATAAACTGAAATCCAAACGCGCCCCTTAAACTACAGCTTCAACTAAACCCAGGCAAATACGAATTGGTGTGAATGGGGAAGGGAAAGGTTCAAATTCAAAGTGAAAGGACAGCGAAGTGTGTGGGCCATATTCGAGGTGTCTTTCACCGCTCGCCAAACTAAGCTCTGCTCACAAGTCACTTCCCTCGTCTCTCCGCGTCCATCTTATGACCCGGTAAATTAAATAATATATCCTCTGCCATTGTTATTATACATCACTTTTAATTATTTTAAAAGAATCGAGAAATGATAATTAATTTATCAAATATATTTTAATTTTTTTATTTTAATTCTGTTAAAAAAATAGAAAGATACAAAGTATATGATAAGATATAAATTAAATTTACAATAAAATTAAAATTAAAAATGATAATAAATAACCCTCTACATGTTTTATATTCAGGGATTCAAAAAATATTTTTAAAAGGTGCCCTATAGTAAGGATTGATTATTATACGATATTTTTTTTAAGAATTAATATATAATTTAAGTTTTAAATTATATATTTAAAAACAATTTAAATTTTAAATTTTTAAAAAATAAATTTTAAATTATAAATAATTAAAGTTTGAGTAATTTTACTTTTATCGTTAAATGAATCAATATTCATTTTGATTTTTGCATCCCATTGCAACACGTTTTTTTTTTATAAAAAAAGGGTCACTGTTAATTTATCGATTATTCTCCTTCATCTATTGCATGATGTTTTATTTTAACATGATACACAAAATCTCTTGAAATTGAAACGTCGTCGACATATTTTTAAGGATGATATTAATTTCTTACTTAGAACGCGAGGCATTAAAAATTTAATTTTTTATTTTTTTTCTATTTTGTATTTTACATTATGGATTTAATTTATCTCAAATTTAGAAATATTATTTGTGCGTGTGTCTTGTCAAGTCTGTATTTAATATATGTGATGCATACATAATACATAAAATTTAGTTATTTTATTTTTTTCATTTTGTATTATATTTATAGATTTAATTTATCTTAAATTAAGCATTAAGAAATTGAATAATTTTATGTAGCATTTAAATAGATGGATTTGAATTTTAAATTTGGAATCTCTCACATTTAAAATCTACATATTTAAAATTATTTATTTGAATAATTTTAAAAAATTAAATAGGAAGAGAGATGAATTGAGATTCAAATAAAAATAAAAAATTAAAAATAATGAATTTATTTTTATTTTTTTACTTAACAAGAGATGAGAAAATATATAAGAGCATAGATATATCAGTAATAAAAGCACAAAGAAAATAAAATGTTTAAAGTGATTAAAATTTTAAATAATTAGACTGTTAAAAAAATTTAAAATTATAAAAAATATAATTTAAAATAAAAATAAAAATTTATAATTTTTTATATATTTAGATAAAATATTTAATTTAAATCTAAATACCCGTTAATTCAAACACATCAAAAATTTTCAGAATAGAGGTTGCTAAGGCCAGCTTTGTGGCTGGTGTTGGCCGATAATTGTAGGCAGACAGCACCTGCTGGTCATAATTAATGTCACTGTCCTTTCAGATTTCCCCCCATCTTGCTTGTGTAATCTCCATCATCAATGACCAGGTCCAAGGTCTCCATACACTACACAGACACTCGCATTAATTGTTCAGAGGACCCATCACTGTACTTCACTCTTGCCTTTGCCGGAGGTTAAGATCCATCGACCAGCATGCCTGATTGCCTGACACCGTTATTAATTTATAGTATAATCTTTTGATCTGAACCAGAAGTACATGCACAAGATAAAACATACCCCATAATCCATATATTAAGTAATGACAAGCGGACAACTTCACATAGAACAATACAACGCAAAACCGTAGATGACGTCGTCAAGATCAACTAAGATGGTACGTTCCATAGACACATAAATAATATATATAATCACACGCTTGTGTATGTGTGTGTGTATATATATATAGAGAGAGAGAGAGATAAGATAACTAGGGAATTCCAATGATGGGGAAGAAAGGGATGTAGTAGCTGGAAGGCGCAAAGCCCCACTCTGGAGGAAGAGGAATATCGATGGTCTCTGATGAACCAAACTTGCAAAGCTTGTTTTGAGGGCATGATGTGAGGAACCCAAGAGGAGTGGAGATGGTGTAGGTGTTGGCTTCTGTGGTCTTCACTATTAGGGATGCCTTGTCTTTCTCTGAAGCGTAAAGCTGATTTGGTCCTCCCAGCAGTTTTGCCACGCACTTCACATCAGAAGCCGCTGAGTTTTTGGGGTCTCTTGGAAGCTCCACCTTGAAGGACCCATCCTCTTCTGTGCTTGCCACCACCGCTTTTCTCACGTTCTCGCACTTCACTGAAACCTTGATCTCTGTCACCAGTATTCAACCAGCAATCATATGTAACTCGTTAACTGGGAATAATTTCATCAATTCATCAAAAGCTTGAAGCTTAGGTTCTATGGGTTGAGAAAGACCATGCTATCTATGGGCATATGCAGATCAAATTAAATTATTTTGTTATCAATATTTATGTTCTAGTTAATTGATTAACAGTCTTTTTTAAATATAAACGGAGTAACTCGTTATTATCTTACATGGGTTAAACTCCTGAGATTTCATAAGGAATTCTACTGCTACACCAATTGGAAATTAAATATGTTGAGTTGAATTAAAAAAAAAATTTGAATAGTATGCCCATAAAATTGTCCAGACAAGCATATTGATCATGAGTTTTCTTATATACTTTTTATATACTTTCAACAAACTAATTCCTTTATTAACATAAAAATTTAAATGTTACCTGATATTACAGACAATACGTACGTACATACATACATACATACATACATACATACATATATATATATAGACGTACACACACCCCGAACACGCGCGGATCCGAAAATATGAATGAGAGTGAGAGGAGTGGGAAGAATTTACCAGAGAGAGATTGGTGATTATTGTTGGGAGTGGTACAGTCAAAGCAAGAGACTTTGGCCTTGAGGACTTGGGATGCGGCGAGATCGAAGGTGGAAGCTAGAGCTAATGCAAAGAGAAGAGTGATCAGAAAGTGAGGAAACGCCATGAATGAAACAGATAGATGCAGAAGATAGCACTTGGGAATTGATTTGAAGAGAAGATGAAACAAGAAGGCAGCTTATATAAATGGAAGCATGATGCGATATGTGAGAGCGCATTAAATGAAAGAGTCATAGAAGCTCACATTAGTGGTTGGTATCTTGCTAACAATTGTCGCGGTTAAACTTACATTTCCCTCTTCTAGTAATTCACCCCTTTTCCTTCATTTATATAACTCATTGATTAAATAATATACACTCACTTTTGCCCATTATTTTGTCTAAATACTTCTTCAACTTTTATCTATGTTAGGCACTCAAGTTATCCCTTTCAAAGCAAAAGAAAATGAATTAACACAGTCACATGTCTATTTAAATAGTAAACTACATGGATTCTTTCTTTCTTTCTTTTTTCCTTTGCCAAATCATATCCATATTTATTCTAGTTCTATCAAAGTTTAATTTTTAACTAAAATAATATACCTTTTAATCACCATATTAAAACTAAAAGTTGTTTTTCATTACTTTTGACAAAAAATAGACATGTTCCATGTATTTAACGCAAAATTTAAAAACTTAAAATTAAAATATAGCGTGTATTTTAAGATATATCTATGTATAATTTTAAAAATAAAAAATGTAACTTTAATGAACACTTCAAAAAAGTTTGTGTAATTTGTTATTTAATTTGGCGAGATATAATTTAGCATTTTCAAGTTTATAGACTAAAGTAAATTTATCTTAACTTTTTGTTTCGAAATTCTATGGTCAGACCCCCTACATAGAAACTTTGTATGATCATGTATATGGTCAAAACTGAAACTATATCTCTGTGAAGCAATGAAATAAATCCGAAAAACTTGTTGGCCTTTAGCTTAAATTCAATTTACCCTGTCGCAGAAGCCAGTGCAATTTGAAACATTCCCCCTTCATCCGGCAATCCAACAATTTCAATGACCTCTTTCTGTTGTTCCTTAATTAGATTCAATGTTAATCAATATCATACATCAATTCAAATTCACCACTTAGCTCGTCTGATTAAAATATATCATCCAATTTGTATAGGGAAATAATTAATTGTCAATTAATTAATTATTAATCCTAAACAAAAACGTGGTCATATATGTCAATTAAGTTAAAGAAGATATACAATGCACCGACTTTTTCCCTTTTAATTCACAATTAAATAGGAGAAATATTATTGTATACATAAAATACGTGTGGTGGAAGGAAAAATTGAACATCACAAAACTAAAGTGAAAAGTCAAATTCGGCCATAACTCGGAACATTAAAGAACCGAAAGGCGTTGCTGATTCATGATGAGGACCCTCTGCCTGTACGAGAAAGAAACACCTCCATTTAATGCAATAAAGATTGTTCAATTCATGCTTATGCCATTCGTATGCGTATTCACGTTGGGTAAATTTTTTACCGAAATCCGTAAAATTCTGCCCCCTTGCGCTCACGTAAAAAGAATCTCGTTTTACAATATTTCTTGCTCGTTCTCGTACGTCCTCCGTCAATCTTATATTCCTTTTTCTTACTAGGTGAAAGCTGTCATTTTTATTCTGTTAACAACATAAATATTAAAAGATGACGATATAGCCGTAAATTAGAAGAGGTTTTTGATGTGTTATTTATCTAAACTATTGTAAGTATTCTATGGGAAATATGAGAATGAGCCGTACAGTGATTTTTGTTTTAGAGATTTTATACATATACCACGCATAGATTGGTTACGTGTCCACGAAAAACTATGTCTACACACTATATGACGAAGAAATCTTATTAATGGCGGCAAATAATAAAGGCGTGTTATGAAAATTCAATGAAGCCAACAAAAGTACAAGCAAAGGGAAAACCGCTTTACCAGCCAACATGGAAGTAGTTCCTTTCCCTTGCTTCTCGTTGAGTGCATCTGCACCTACGTAGCTTTAATTAGCAATCAGAATCACATGCATGTTGTTCAATTTTTATCAGGATACCCATAGTTAAATTCCAAAAATTTCGTCTACTCGTATTTATGATATATAGTTAGGCATTATGCGAAAAATTTTATTGAAAGATAAATTGCAAAGACTAATTTATATGATCAAAAATACAAAAATCACAATTGCAAATTAAAAATTCATAAGAGTTAAATCTCATAATTTGCAGCAGAGACTCTCATTTTTGAGAGAGAGAGAGAGAGAGAGAGAGAGAGAGAGAGAGAGTTGGATGGAAAGGCCGCCAAAATATTAAATGAAGTGGGGAGGTTAGAGGAATAATTTTAGAAAAGGGCGGATCCTTTAATTTTCTTGTTGAAATTTCATGATATTCTGATTATGTACTTTCTTTATGTCAGGCACGATGCTTGTTCGGTACCATCCTTGTATTATTAATTTTACAACCTTTTCCAGCCAGCGGTTTAGTGAAAAAATTGGTGGGACTTTTAAAATAATGTACTCCGTATAATATAATGCTATCATCAATGTGTTTTTATCAATGGCAATCTTAATTTGCTGTCTGCCATTGTGACACTTACTTTTTTTTTTTTTTTGGCCCCTACAAAATTTTGTCTACTATCTCAACACCCATCTCCTTTTCTTGTTAAATGGCAGTATCGGACTGCTGCAACAGAAGAATTACCTCGTAATCTTCAAAACTCAAATGTATTCGACTTCTGCTATAAATAGATTGCTTCAATCAATCCGAAGCATCTCTCAACCTAATTCAAGCCAGCCATCATCTTTCTTGTTTTCCTCGAAGCTCTTCAAGCTTCCATCCTCATAATCTCGAAACATGTCCGTTAGCCTTAAAGCACGCCTCTCCTTGGCTGTCGCTGCTTTTGCCATTGTGCAGATAACAAGGGCAGGTGATCCAGACATACTCGTTGACTAAATCGCCCCCGACAACGTTGTTGGAAACTTGTTCACTTTCACTAGCTTTCGTGCCCTTACAAAACAACCAACCTCGACTTTTAAGGTCACGAAGGCAAGCATGAAAGAGTTTCCTGCACTTTTGGGACAGAGTGTCTCTTACGCTGCCCTAGAATTCCCCGCTGGCAGCATCAATCCACCCCACACACCCTCGATCTGCTGAGCCACTCTTAGTGGCTCAGGGTACCCTACAAGTAGGGTTTGTGGACATCCTCAGCAAGCTCTTCGCATCCACTCTCTTCGCCTATTGTCCTACCATTAAATTATTGAACATTGACCATTAAATGTAGGTGTATTGACTATTTGTGCCAATATGTGGGTCAAGATGTAAATTTGTACATGATGCAGCAGAGGTGTTTGTTAAGGCCAAGTTTGAGCCTCCACATCAAATGAATCCACGGAGCTCACACCCTCATCATGCGCCTATTTTGAGTCCATTGATGAAGATCAGAGGAGGGAGAGGCAATCAAAGAGGAAGAAGAGATTGGACAAGGGAGTGTTAAACTTGCCATCGATCAGGAACCTAAAGGGCCTTAGTGGGAGTGAATGGAGATGAGAAGGAGGAAAGTACTCATCGGTTTAGCTGTGGACTAGAGAGAGGGAGGGAGGGAGGTGGCAAGATCTATTTTTTTGGCCAAAGAGATGACGAGATCAAACACAAAGGAAGAGGGGGGTGAGATGATAAGATGGAGACATGCGGCTGCCAACTCTTCAAATTTTTGAGCTCCACTTGCTCGCTTAATGCCCATTAGCATCGATCTAATGGTAGGATATTGGGTGTGTGACCTATTTTTAAAAGTTTAAGGGTTTGTTAATTTAACTAAAATAAAATTTAGCATATTTGGTACTCCTAAATATATAGTTTAGGCGCAAAAATAGATATTAACCATAAATATTACCTCACACCTATCTTAGTGAATATTTGTGGAGGGGGAAAAAATATAGCATTTGGTAGCCATTTTAGGTCTAAAATACAGTTTGCGTAAAAATGTATGTGCTATAGAATTATAAAAAAAAAAAAGCAAGAATATACTGTAAATTATTTAGTTCTTTAATTTTATCACAAGTTAACATATAGTTACGCTGTCCTTTGCGACTATTTCTTGATGTCTTGAATGTTGATTGCAATCAATAGCCTCTTGTCAATTTTAAATCTACATATCATAATATCGAATTTAAATCCTCTTAAATTGTAAATTTTTATGAAGTTACTCTTTTAAGGAAAAAAGAGAAAATTTTGTATTTTATGAAAAAATCTAAAAAATGATAACTTTATTGAAATTTACAGGTCGCAACACTAAAAAATTTTGTACTTTGTATTTTTGTATTATGGAATTTAGAAAAAAGGATTTAAATTCCATAATATCTATTTCTATCGCTCAAACTCCAAACTTGTCATTTTATTTTTTTTAATGATTTTCCTGTTGAAAACGAACCATTAAATATTATGGCCAAACAAAATATTGATCGAATTCGTCTATTTGTTATCTTAATATAAAGCTGCATGTTTGCTTCGGATATATACAAATCCCCAAGAATGTAACATGCTAATCGATTATGTATGAAGAGATTTAACAAAATACTAAAATTTAAAGACAAACTATCGATATAAATTCAAGTAATTAAATTTAGATTCCGTTTGAAAACCTTACTTTTCATATTCAAAAAATAAAATTTTATTTTTAAAATGTTGAAAACTATTTGAAAAAAAATATTTTATAGAAAAACATATCCTTAAAACACATTTAAACAACGGTCGATTAAAAGTGGGCTTAAAAAACATAACTTCAAGGTGGACAAAACAAATTTTATTATTAGGGAAAAGATAATCCACAAATGTTCATCCACCCCTTCAAGGAACACATGATTATCTTCAAGGTCTTTCACACTCCCTAATACACTACACTGAAGCAGCCAAACCAAATGACGAACCAACCAATAATTTGAACACAAACGCTTCTACGGAATCAATTATTATTACTTATTTTGAGAGAGAGACTGACTCTCGATCGACGACGTACGGCCGGTGAACCCCATCGATCAAGCTCATTTGGGAGCAAAGCCCTTCTTCAAAGTCTGAATGGTGCCAACATCAGTCTTGAAGGCCAAAGCCAAGACAGTGTCATCAATGGAGGAGTTGAACAGAGTATTGGGGATGGAGACAGTGCCTGCATTGGCACTTCCAAAAGCAGAGAGAGCCAGAGCAGTCTGATTATTGTCAGCATTGTGTTGGAAGTGAACCAGTCCCTTTGGGAACACGAACATGTCTCCTGTTTGAAGCGTGGAAGTGAGGAGCTTGTTGGTGGTGTCTACAAACCCTACCTGCAAGGCTCCTTGAGCCACAAGCAATAGCTCAGCAGATCGAGGGTGGGTGTGAGGTGGATTGATGCTGCCAGCAGGGAATTGTAGGGCAGCATAAGAGACACTCTGTCCAAAAACTGCAGGAAACTCTACCGCGCTTGCCTTTGTGGCCTTAAAGCTTTGGGGTGGCGGCTGTTCTGTAATGGCACGAAAGCCAGTGAAGGTGAAGAAGCTCCCATCGACATTGTTTGGGGCAATATAGTCAAAAAGGATATCTGGATCACCTGCCACTGTTATCTGCACAATCGCAAGAGCAAAGGCAGCCAGAGAGCAGAGTTTAAGGTTGGCGGAGGCCATGTTTCGAGAGTTTGAATATGAAAGCTTGAAGCTTGATGGTTGGAAAAGATGAGGTGGCTTGGATTGATTTCAGGAGCAATTAATCTATTTATAGAAGTTGTCTATCTGGGTTGGAAATTTTGAGGAGAATGTTGTGGGGATTTTTCTGTCTCTATGATGATCAAGAGGCCGTCCAGATCAGATAAGAACAAGTTGAGAAGAAGATTACGAAGTAGTATTTGCAGAAGATGCACCAGTTTTGTCTTTATCCTTTTGTAATTATATTGTATGGAGCTTTATTGTTATGGATCCGATTGGGCCCTGAAATTGGAGAGTCATCCAGGAACGTTACAAAGATGCCAGCATGGCAGAGCTAAGCCAAGCTAGTTTTCCATTATTGAACCGATCTTCAGGAGCTGCTGTTTCGCGTGTACTATTGTGTGATGATAATAAAAAGGGAGAAGCGCCTTTCCTTTCATTATTTAGTTATTTAGTTATATAAAGTGTCTTTTCCTTTCACTAATCCTAAAATGATTAGTTTTATTGAAAAAAAAAATTGCTGGCATTAAAATTTTAATTTTAAATATTAATAAAAACATTCTCAGATATTAATATTTTTTAAAATAAAATAGTTGATACACAAGAAATTAATCATCATTTAAAATTAAGGATGTTAGAATTAGAAAATTGAAGTTAAGAAATTAAACTATAATCTGATATAAAATTAAAAGCACTAAAAATTCACTTTTACTTGATAAAAAGAAAGATGTGAACAGGGGATTGTTGAAGCATCCCTAAAGGCCAGAAAGTGAGGAGAGAATATCACAGCTTAGCTTGTTCATTTGGAGAATGTTCCCACATTCTTGAAGTTTACACCGACTAACACAGGCAAAGCCAATGATCATCAACGTTAACCTATGATGAAGGCCTTATAATTGCCGCCAAATCATAATTGATTGATAATAAATAGGAAAAATGATAGAGAGGTCCAAAAAGATCAGGTAATTCAAGTTAGATATCAAGTATTAAATTTTAAGAATTTACAACTCAATCTCTCAATTTTATAAATCTATTGTGATGAATTTACAACTTATATTTTAAATTTTAATAGGAAAAATAATTTTTTTTATTTTTCAATCCAGTTAAAATTTAAAAAATAAATTGTAAATTTATTACAACATTGTTGCAAAATTGAGAGATTGAGTTACAAATTTTTGAAGTTTAGTAATTAAAACTTAACTTGAATTGATTAATCATTTTGATACCTCTTTGTCATCCTCCCTAATAAATATCTCTTGTGGTCCAATTTACAAGATTTCTTCTCACAATTATTCTCAACAAGATCATTTACTAAATTTAATAAAATATTTAGATTTGGATTAGATTTTTTTAACCATATCTTTTTTATTGGTTTGCATGATGGGAAAAGATTTTTTATCCTTTTAACTTGAACGAAGATAAATTTAATTGAGAGGCGTTTGATTCAACTAATCTTGAGTATTAAGTTAGCTTCAAGTTTGAGTTTTGGATTATACAGTGTGTTAAATAAGTTTGTCAAAAATATATTGCCAGGTTATCATTGATAATAACAATTTCACATAGAAAGGATTTGAATTAGTATGGGTGGGAGATGATGATACCTCACGTTTCCAAGACTTGCATTGAAAAAGAAGAAGAAAAATTTAAAACAATGATTAATAGGTGAAAATTATTGGTGAATGTGAATATATATATATAGATGATTATAAAAAATATTTCATGAAAAAAGTTTGAACTCATCCAAATCTAAATCAAACTAAGTCCAACTACTCACAAACCGAAACAAATCAATTAAAATCAAAATAAATATTAAATTATAGTAAATTGATTGGTTTGATTTAATTTGATTTTTTCTCAAATTCAAACCTTACACAACCAATGAATAACTTTAATAGAAGTATATAAAACATGCCTGCGAGAACCAAGCCCTTTAGCATCTGCCGTGGCAATCTTATGCAACTAGAAAGCTGGCTTTATACTCTCAATATTTTAGAAGTATGTTTTGAAAAAAAACTTATATACTTGATTTTATATATTTAATTTTTTTCATTTTTAATTAAATAAAGACATGTAAAAAACTTATATGTCATTTATTTTTAATCAATGTTATTTATATATTAAATTTTTATTTAACAGATTGGACAGAAATATATATTAAGTATTCAAATATCCTTTGGCAAAAAAAAAGTACCAAAGTATCCCAAGTTCTGTTAAGAAGAGAAAAGAAAAGGAAAATATAATTTTTAGTCTATACACTTCATATGTGATTTGTTATTAGTTCCTATATTTTATTTTTAATGATCCAAGTTCCTACATTTTTTTTCATCTATACTTTAGGTTCCTACGCTTTCATAAGAGTGCTAATGTGACATTATTGGTATTAATTGTGCTGATGTAGACAATAACACTATTAATTATTTGGTGACGTGTTAGTTAGTGGTCGGTGTGTATTTTTTAAAAAAAAGAAAGAAAGAAAAGCTAATTTGTACTCCCTTCAATCCCATTATAAGACATTTTTAATCATTTTACACATCTTAAGAAAAGTTATTTTTTTCTTGATATCATAAAAAAAGTGATATGTACTTTTATTTTGACCTTTGACTTTAAATAATGATAGTATGATATAATTACATTAAATACCTTCACGTTAATCAAAAAAGGATAAAATTAAAAAATAATTTAATTATTAAAACATATCTTATATTTTGGACCAAATTCTTTTTCTAAAATATGTCTTATAAATAGGACTCAGGGGAGTATTTTCTTTAATGATCATAAGGTGAAAAAAATTTATCCTAATTCCAAACCTAAATAATATATTTTATATATATTAAAAAATAATGAATTATCCCAAACTTAACCCTAAATTTGATTTTAGAGCACAGAATCACAGGTAAGGCAATCTAAAGCACAAAATTGTAGTAAACCTAAAAAGAATACGTGACATTTTCTCATAATCTTAAACCCTACTTTTATATATATAATAATTATTTAAAAAATACACACAAGTTTTTCTTTCCTTTTCTTCTTAGAAAAAAATACATACGAGGTACTAACTGACATGTCATCATATAAGATTCACATTGGTATAATTAACACCATCAATGCCATGTTAACACCCCTCTGAAAGCGTAGGGACCTTGAGTGCAGATAAAGAAAATTGTAAGGACTTGTAAGAGCACTAAAAATAAGGTATAGGAACTAATAGTAAATTGCGTGCAAAGTATAGAGGTTGAGAGTTATGTTTTTCAAACAAAAATCTTAAAGATCAAATTTTAAAACATATTTTTCTAAATTCTCAGGTGCAATACTGATTTTGAAGTCATTTGTCAGTCGATTTCAAAATTATCTTAACCTATTATGCACTTAGCCTTGAAAAAATTATATTACCATCACTATTAGAAAAACATGAATTAGTGAGGAATTGTCTATTTTTCTTTAAAATATCAAATTAGTGACGCAATTAGCGAGGGACATTGATTTTATAGTTAGATTAAATTAACGAGGGATTGTTAATTTCTCTCTAAAATTAGATAATTAGCGAGAGATTCTGTCCCTAGCCAATTACTGTAAAAAAAATTAGAAATGACTTTTAATTAATTTTATATTTAATTATATTTATTTAAAAATAAAAATCATATTTAAAAATTAAGTAAAATATTCACACTAAAAGTATTTAATATTTAATATTTTCTTTATCTTAAGTTCATTTTCCTTAAAAAATAATATTTTTATTAAAAATAAAATACAAAGAGTCATATAAATACAAATATAAATATATTAGCATATTAATAATTGAAAATAAAAATATAATATGCATGTGTATTTTTATAATATATTATTTGATATATCTATGTAGTTAAATAACATGTATTTAATTTCTTATTTAATAACTGTAGATGCATTTTAGTTTAACAGGTAAGAAAGGAAAGTATAAGACTTGGACAAGGTAGCATGTTAGGGTTCATGTCTTTACCTTGACATAAGTATAATGAATATGTGATGCAATAATGAGCAAGTGATATGGCATGAGGTGGATGATGACATGGCATGAGTCATTGCACATGTGAAAGGTGATGAGGTATGAAATGGTAGGTGACATGGCATAAGCTGACCTACATGTGACAGGTGGCGAGGCACTGGTGATATAGCATTAGGTGGCCATTTTTTTTAATATATGGCCATGGTAAAAAACATGCAACGAGACCAAAATTGGGTCATGTCAGAAGCCACAAAGCTTCTACAGTCAATAGGCAGTATGTCAAATAAAGTAATATCGAAATAATCCCTCGAAACCTTGTGGGCTAGGAAGTCGGCACATTGATTGGCTTCTCTATAGACATGATCATAAGTGATTTCCCAAATCTCATTATGAGGTTATGGATGTTCCTTAAAATTGACGCATGAGGATGACCTTGATCAAAGTTACTTTTAAGAGGGAAAGCGCCTCTATAAAATCAAAACAAACATTCACTTTGGTAATTTTATCATTTCAGTGTATGTTAAGTCCTTCCAAAATCGCTCTCAGTTTAGCTATAGTGCTGGATTGATAATTAAAGTTTTTATTAAACCCTTTGATCTAGATCCCCTTATTGTCTTTGATAAGTCCTCTATGAGAAGTTGCTCCATTATGCTTAACTTAATCATTAACATCAAGGTTTTGGTGGTTCCCATCTAGCCTTATGTCTAGAAGGTTGCCATTTTTAAAATATAGCCAATCCTTGCCTAATTTAGCAAGGGAATATATTATTTTGCTAAATTTAGTGAGACTATTTTTTGTAATGAAATCAGTGAGGGATGGAATTTCTCATTAAATTTCATTTAATGAGGGATATATGTCATTTAGTGAAGGATTCATCCCTTGTTAAATCAATTTTTTTTGTAGTGTATTTTGAAATAGAGTAAATATTTAATCAATCACTTGTGACCTATAGTTCTCTAATCTGTAAACGATCTTGGTAAGTGCATTTTTTTAATTTATCTAATAAAACATTTTTGTTATCCCCAATTAGCCTGTTAGTAAAAATGACACTTCTACCAAGGGACATTTAGTTCAATTAGTTGAGGGAGCTGAATCAACTTATCTTATGATTTCAAGTTTGAATTTTAGGATAAGTAATCACGTTAAATAAGTATGTCAAATGCATTTTTGAAATACCTATAGGTCATCATTGGTAACAATGGTTTTACACAGTAGAGATTGAAATTAATTTAAGAGGGAGGTGGTATTACCTTTAAGTTTTTCAGAATATTGAGCCATGGATTTTGGCCAAAAAAAATCCCAACAAATCTTGTTATGTGCCATCTTGCAATTGCTCGCCATCTTTTTTAGTGAACATGCATGGGAGAGTAACAAATGCTTAATTTTGATTTATCTTATGAATATGACCAAATTGAGATAGTAATATTTTTTGAGTTGAGAGTCATTTTTATTTCTCATCTTTGTCCAAAAAGTTATTGAAAATTTTAAACTCAACTATGTATTAATTTTGTCTCCCAATTTTAAAATTCTTTTCCCTTATCATCATGCCATTTTTTTACTATTAATTGATTGTTAGTGGACTTCACATTACATTTTTTAATATCTTTTATTATAAAATATTTGAGTTGAGGGTGTTCACTAATCATTCAAATAAAAGTTGAAGGACAAGAGTGATTATTAACTTGATAAAAAATATTAAAAAATAATAAGACCTATTAATAATTAATAGATGTTAAATATTTTTAACACCATGAATGATAAAAGAGGGAACACTTAATGTTAAGAAATAGAATTAATTTTTAATTAAATTTAAAATTTATAATAATTTTTTGGTAAAGTTGACGAGTAAAAATAATTTTTAATACATATTTTTTCAAAGATTAAACCAGTTACCCACTCTTCAATCATATCAAGAGAGGAGTCCTAAAAGAGTTCCCATATTCTTTCCTTACCACTTTACGTTTCTAATGCAATTACAAAACTACCCTCAACGTTTATGGCTTGAGTTGAGTTTAGGTCCAGGGTTGGAACCACGCTTCGGAGCCACGTTTTGAGGCAACCACGACACACCCCTCAACCTGAATCGTATTCCGCAAGGCTGCCGTTAAAAAAAAAAAAAAAAAAATCTCAAACAAAGTGGCGCTGCAACGGGACACGGGACACCGAGCCGGTTCATCGAACTGAATACTCTCGAGTCTCGAGTAAACTCCGTGCGTTGGGGCGGCAACCCACGCGAACAAAATGGAGAAGGGCAGAAACGTGGTGGTTTCAGCTCTGCAGTTTTCCTGCACAGACGACGTCTCGACCAATGTCGCCACCGCTGAAAGGTGGTCATTGCCACTCTTCTACCCCCCTTTACTATATTCTGTTCGGATCGAAATTTGTTAGTGCTATATGTCGTGTTTGGAATTCACTTTTGGTTGATCATCTATCCTTACAGCTCTAAATCACACCCTAAATGTTCAAAAGCTGAACTTGATGACTATTGTAAGGAAAACTATGAGCTACCCGTGATAAAAGATTTTAAATTTTGCTTTTCCAATGATAGGAACACCGTTCAATTATTATAGCTTTCGTAAACCTTCGAATGTTTAATGTCATTGCTTTGTGCCACAGCAGAAACCTTTAGCTCTTCTATATGGAATCGCAAATGACAACTTTCTTAACGGCGAAGTAATTCAGAGAACTTTTGCAGTTAAACAAAGATTTGAACAATCCTTGAGGAATCCATATTAAGTTCGTACACAACTCTCCTGACAATTCTAGGGCCATATTCTTTGTTAGAATCCAATTTCTGGTTCCAGGTTAAAATTGTTTCTACTTGCGCTAATATATCGAGCAAATTATTTGTTTGAACTGAGTTTAACTCATTTCGCATCTTTCAACCCTGGAATATTTGCAGTTGCTTTGCAAATTGCAATAGTTCTGCATGCAAGCGATCTAGCATTCTGCTCCTGTCCCTCGAACAGAAAAAGGGGCGTCATTTTTAAGTTTCCTGGCTGCTACTTAGATGCTTAGAAACACTTCGATCTTATGGGTTCTGTGACATTTAGATGCTAAAAAGTACCTATAGTTCTATCTCCTGGACTGTGTCTTTCTGGCCTTCACTTCCTATGTTGCTTTTCCCCCTTTTCCATAATCATACGAGGTAAAAAATTACTGAAATGATCAATGACATTATATCTATCGGTGTCATTTGATGCTTTTGGCTCATCTGTGCAGGCTAGTTAGAGCTGCTCATAAAAAAGGCGCAAATATTATTCTTATTCAGGTGCGTATGTCTTGAATGCGGGCTGTCTAGCTCTTGTTTGCTTCCTACTTATTTTGCCCTATTTGTAGAAATTATAAACACTACATCTTTTGTAGAATTCATATCTTTCGTTTATAATTTAAAAGATCGTGGTTCATAATTATTTCATGAAGAGATTTCCTTCTGCATGTAATCTGATTGGACAACGGCTTCTCATTTGTTGCTTTTGCAAATGCCGTTGTTCTCTCATTGAACTGGAGACATTTGCATAACATTTGAGGACCTCAGAGTTTGCAATTCAGGCTAGAATTATAAAGGTGGCTTTAGTGTTTGGCAAAAGATGACTGTTAAAATTGATTAAAGAAATTGGTATCAAAGAGTTGGTCTTTACTGTGTTTTTGCTGTTTTGAGATTGTAGAATATGGATGCAGCTCGAGGGATTTCAATTTCTATCTAAGTAAAACCAAGATCATTTCACTCATTGACCCCTCTGCATGTAGTTAGGATTATATTATTAGCTTTCTCCTGTTGTCCTTGATAAGCAAAGCAATATTTCTGGATGCCAAACATAGGATCTGGTTAAGTGATGAAGAAACCAAAATCGTTCATCTTACTATGTTGCGTCAAATGGAATTGATTTTAGAATTGAACAATGTGCTATTCCACCTATACATTATTTGTATATAAGTTGTTCAGCCAGGAATGATTCTATGATGGTGGTCTTGCTTCATTTGATTCTTAACTTTTATGTCAGCTTAAGACCCTTCCATCTGATGGAAATTGATTTTCTTGATGTTAGTGTTTGTTTGGAAACAATGGATTTATATATAGTGGCAGTATAGACATTGAAGTGGACTCATTACTTCTGATGGTTATTCCATTCCTGATGGGTTCTTGATTTGATTAGTTCATACTCATGAATGATTGATTGTAGGAACTCTTTGAAGGTTATTACTTCTGTCAGGCACAGAGAGAGGATTACATTCAAAGAGCTAAGCCTCATAAAGGCCATCCGACAATTTTAAGGTTCACTGACAAACTGTTTTCTTAGTTTCATTCTCAGTCGATGTTGGCATGCCATTTTGTCTGGAATCATATATGATCCTTGTTAAGCCTTTAATGGACAGGATCAAAATTTGAATTTGACTTTAATGTGCGTTCACTTTGCAGCTAATCATATACTTTTGTTCAATTTCAATTTACATGCTATAGGATGCAGAAACTTGCTAAAGAGTTAAGCGTAGTCATACCTGTTAGCTTCTTTGAGGAGGCAAATAATGCACATTATAATTCAATAGCCATAGTTGATGCTGATGGAACTGATCTTGGGGTCTATAGAAAGTCACACATCCCAGATGGACCGGGTATGAAATTTTGATTCATGAAGTTATTTGTGCATACTTTAGCTTCTAAACATCCTAAATCAATAACCTTTTCTACAGGTTACCAGGAAAAGTTCTATTTTAATCCGGGTGATACAGGCTTTAAGGTGGGCACCAAGGATAAATTTATCAATGTTTTCTGCTTTTAATGGTTTGTTTGTGGTTTATGGCTTCTGGGATGTTCTCATAACATTGAATGTCTTTCAAAACAGGTTTTCCAGACTAAATTTGCAAAGATTGGAGTTGGTAAGATGATGCAATTACTTTGATTGTTTACAACTTATTATTCTCTTGATCTGCTCTCTAATAAGATGATGTTAACACTTCGAATTCATTCGGTATTTAGTATGATGACATCTATGACGGACGGAAAGGCATTGTACCTGTAGTTTTTCTCAGTTATTTGGTTTTCATTTTTCTTTATGATGTACTTCAGTGACAAATAACATCGCAGAAGTTTTATTTTTAATCTTTCTGCCGGATGGAACTTGGTTGAGGATACAGAAGATTGAATCTGACAGTTGTTATATTTTTCTTTTAATTTCTTTTAATGCCAGCTATCTGCTGGGATCAGTGGTTTCCCGAGGCAGCACGCGCAATGGTTCTTCAAGGTGCTGAGGTTTTGTTTTATCCTACTGCTATTGGGTCTGAGCCTCAAGATGAAGGGCTAGACTCCCGTGACCATTGGAGGCGGGTTATGCAGGGACATGCTGGGGCCAATTTGGTAGGTTTTGTAAATCAATTGACATGCTCACAAATATTTCTTTTATATGTACATTAGTGTTTCTATTTTAGAAATTTCACTAAGGTGGTGTTTGGTATGTGCAAAGTACAATTTCCTCTGCTCTTGAAACCCTATTAATAAGAATTATTTTGGGCATGATCGTTAACAAGATATTCAAGCATAAGAAATATTTAAGTTTATATGCCCCAAATAGTATAGGGATTTCTATTTGTATATCTCAACTGATTTTTTATGAGTAGATTTTCAAATACTTGGAAAAATTAAGAAAAGAATGCAGTAAATGCTACTTAAATCTTTACTTTCTTGATCAACATTTGTCTGGTAAAAGTATGTGCTAGAGAAAAGGTATTTCTAAGTTGCTTGGGATCATTGCCTTTTATGCATGCCCATTGCTAAACCACTCCTGCAAATATGCATACCAAACTTTCCAAGCTATTAAATAAGATAATTCTGGAATTTACAGGTACCTGTTGTGGCTTCAAATCGAATAGGAAAGGAGATAATTGAGACTGAGCATGGCAAAAGTGAGATTACATTTTACGGAAACTCTTTTATCGCAGGTAATTATTCTGAATTGTTTTGTTTTAGTGCATGGAAAAACGCCTTAATACCTGACTAAAGATGGAATGGGGTCTTTCAATGAAACCATTGATCATCTTTCACCTCTTGAATATTGATAATGTATTTTCTTGCTCTGTAACCCCTCCTCTTTTTTGTTCATGATAGTTCATTAAATTCAATTTCATTTCTTCATCTTCTGAGGATTTAGCTGCAGATATAGCTGTTCTGAATCTTGTTTATTCTTCGTTTCAACGAACAGGACCTACTGGAGAAGTTGTTTCAGCTGCTGATGATGAAGAGGAAGCTGTTCTTATTGCTGAATTTGACCTGGACAAGATCAAATCAAAACGGCATTGCTGGGGTGTATATCGTGATCGCCGGCCAGACCTATATAAGGTGCTTCTGACACTAGATGGCATCAATCCTGTCCTGTAACAAAGAAATATTTTACTCTAACTGTTATGTAATTATTTATGGGATGGTTTAGCCCTCTAACGGCACAACATGCATTACCATCAATAAAGCCCAGTGTAATTCAATAAAATATGCAGCCTTGGACCAGTCAACCAAGTACTGGGATATTCTGTATCAGGATCATTAACTTGATATGATTTATCTGAAATTTTGAATCACTTCCTATCGTCTCTCAAGCCTTGTGTTTCGCCCATGTGACTTGATAGTGTTGTAGATTGCTGTTTACTCCACACAAGATTAGTCAAATGGCTTAGATATTTGAAGCATGAACCTGCAGATTTATTTAACCTGTTAATTAATGTTGCCTGCATATAGAAGATCTTATTTTAGCCAGAAATGTCGTTTTCTTCCTTTTTGAAAGTATATTTCAATTTTATCAAATGAATTTATTGTTTCCTGAAAAATAATCTATCCAATTGGTTCCGCAAAACTTTGTTGTCCACTTGTCGCCTTCAATTTCCAAATTAAAAGTTAAATAAATAAGATACTGTACTGAGAGAGAGAGAGAGACAGAGAGAGAGAGAGAGAGGAACGTTAGTTGAGATCGAGAATAATAACAAAAGATCCTTACGGGTCATTAAGAATTGCAGTGTCTAAATTGTCACAACATGCATGGTGAGTTAGTCAGTCTGTGTAGTTACTAGTTTATCTGAAAATGTGATTGGATGTCACAATCCAACTTCACGTTCTGATAGTGCTAATCACGGGGTGGTGGTAGAAATAATTGCTTTTGAATGAGTACAAGTGTCTCCTTTGAATGGCAAAAGACATCAATCTGGATAAAAAGATTCCCTAGCAAGAGCTTTCTTGTATTCCCGTGGCCATCCTCGTGAGAAAAATATCCTTTTGTTTGTGGACAAGTAGATGCCATATTTCTTCCAAGAATATGCCTTGTGTTTCTTGACTTTTCATCTCTGCGTAAACAAGCACCAAAAGGAACGGAGATCTCTCTCTGCTCCCTCCCTTTTCTAAAATATTTGAATATGATAAATATGAGGATTTAAAATTTGTGTAGCATATATTTTAAATAATCCTCGAATGATGGGTTATATACCTAAACCTAAAATAATTTGTCATTAAGTTTCATATGCACTTTAAAAAAATAAAGAAAGTCGCATGCTGAACATCACTAGTTTTAAGTGAGTCAAATATTTTTGGTTACAGACTTGCTCAATTTGTAGGAAATAGAGAACGCGTCAGGTCAGTTTAATCTCACAAAACTCATTTACCAAGTGAAGCTCTCTGATTTGATTCGAAATAGTTTCTGTATAAAAAAAAAAATTAGAGTCAACAATTCGGGCCAAGCCCGATGGGTTAGCCTGAATCCGCCCGAAAAAATTTAAGGCTGAGCTTAGAAAAAAGATGTCTTTTTTATGTTCGGGCCTATTCGGGCCGATCAGAATAGGCCTGAAAAAATTTGGGTCAAGCTCGATCGGGTTCGGGCTGGACCCGAATATCCAAATAAGAAAATTATATTTTTAAAAAATATATAAAATATAATAAATATTAATTAATTCTTTAAATTTTAGATTATTTTATACTAAAATACCATATATTTGAGTCCTAGACATCGTTTAAGTATTAAAAAAATATATTTTGTATTTTTTATAAAATAAAATAATTAATTTCAAAGTAAAAAAATAATTAAAAATTATTTTAAAAATTAAATTCAAATATTCGAACTACCTGAAGCCTGAAAGAATTCAGGTTAGGCTTGATTATTTGAGTTTTTCAGGGGCCAGGCCTGTTCGGCTCGAAGAGACCCGGCCGCCCAAATTTCTAACTTTAAAAAACAAACGGATATACTATACTGATGAAGAGATCACGTACACAAGTATCGAAGAAATTCCTACCATGAATCGATACAAAATGAGCTAGGCCTTGCACCTAACTCATGAATACAGATCATTCCGTTTTCTTATTAAAAACTGATACCTTTCTGATTTAGACATCATTATCTTTATCTACATTTACTTGATCTGTTTCACTTGCACCACTTTCTCCATTTTCACGATCTTCTTCTTCTTCTTCAGCTTCCTCGTCCTCGGCCTCCTCCTGTAGAAACATGTCACCATCAGGCTGAACAAAGTTAAGTTTCAGCCTTCCATTTTCCCTATGAGCATGAAGAAATTCCTTGGTAGGTATTCTTATTTCCTTCAGCACAAATCTCCCATTGTCCCTGTAAGACTTGAAGCAAACCGATGGCTTCCCGCTCTTCCCTATGAGAGAAATCGGAGGAGGGTACTGTGTCTCTCCTACACCTCCTCTAGACCTCCTCCCAGAGTGCTCTCCATTGCTTGAATTTCCTAAAGGAATCTCCTCTTTCACACTCAGCGGCTCCCAGTTTTCGTTCATTCCATTCTTCGATTCTTCCACATCATCTGAGCTTTCAAAGCCAAGCCCCTCAGTGCAAAGTTGCAGACTTTCACTGCCCCGGAGACTTTTGGCGCCGCTTTTTGATTCTGGAGCTCTCGCAGTATCTTTCTGGGGAACTGAGTCTACTGAGTTTGAAGAATAAGACGCTGATGGAGGAAAGGATAAGTCTGGATTCTCTTTGAAATGGAGCTCACCAAACATCTCAATGAAGGAGCTTTGCTCTATGGGTTTTATGGGTTTGATTTGGCTAAGTGAGAGCGATTCGAGTAGAGTTGGGTTTTCTGGCAATGGGTTTTCGAAGATGTGCTGTAGACTTTTGCAAGCGGCCATGGCTGAACTTTCTGTGCAGTATTCTTCTATGGGAAGATCAATGCTTTATTTATGGAGAGAAAGGGAAGAGAAGAAAAAGGGCACGAGAGTAGCATGAGCTGCAAAGCTAAAGCCAAGAGTAAACTCTGATCTTTGGAATCTTTTTGTGATAGTGGGGACTGTGGAATTAAATGGGTAGTTAGGTGCTGAGCTTGGTCTGAATTTAAGTAATTTGGGTGAGATTCACCTTACTATATGTAGAAGTTGGGTTTTATTATACTCACTTAAGAGCATATCAGTAGTGTTTTTAGAACCAAACAAACATGAGCTTGATAATCACTCCTTTTTTAATTATGGTGGATTTTGTGTGAGGAAGCATGTTAACATAACATTAAAAACTTAACTTTCTTTTAAACTAAAAGAGGGTCCTATAATAGCTGTAAGGAAAATTTAAAATAAACATAAATTTATCTTAAAATGGATTTGCATTCATAATTTGTGAATAACGTGACTTTTTGTAATTTTAATATTAATATTGATATTGATGATTCTTTTTATATTTTTACCACAATACAATTTAAGATTTATATTGTAAGTCACAGACAATATATCTTATCTTAAATATCAAAGTATGTCCACAACTGAGTTTAAAATTATTTTTCTATGTACAGATTAAAAGTGCACTAATTTTGTGGGAGGCTAAAATATAATTTTTCCTCTTGTTGAATTGAACAATCATAACAACCTTGGTGAAATTACCAAAACAAGCGTCCAGTTTGGGGTAGAAATTTTCATAGGGCCGATAAAATTTGATTTGACATGGATAAAATTTTCATAGCAGTTCTCACACCGGGGCAAGAGAGACAAAAATGACAGTAAAATGCATATATGTCATTTCTTCTTTGATACGCTAAGTTAAGGGCATAATCATAGCATTTCATCAATTCCCTTTCGGCAGGAAAAAGGGGAGAGGACCACAACCTTCTTAGAATGTTAAAAGCCAAATTGGTGGCGTCCAGGCTTTGCTGATGTGATTGCCCATGCCAACGCCATGTGTCTTTGTCTAGTGGATTGTTGTTCACCAGGTGGTGTGAATCATCTAACTAGGCTATAAAATGATTGGACAGATGGAGCGCTATCTAGTCGTTGAATAGTGCCTCATAATTTTTCATGATATTAGGAACATTATTGATCACAGGTTTTGGGATGATCTCATCCAGCAACTCAAGGTTTGAACTCTTGCTATAATCAAGTCTTTACAAAAATAAATAAAAACAAGTCAATTGCAATTATTAAGAGGGAGACTCGTCTACAAGAGAAACATGCATATTCCTGGTTCAGGATACATCAAGTTTTCACACTAAAATTCAAAGCAAGTGCCGCTTGAATCAAGACTTTTTAGGACAACTTGCCCTTGGTTCGGATGGCATTATCTGTCTTGTATATATTACAGAGGATATCTTTATAACGAATCAATGCTACAACCCTCTTTTACGCTATAATTTATGGGTAATTGGTAATTACTATTTTTTCTAGGTTTATCTAACCCACTTCTCGTGAAGTGTAAGTTTGAAAATCATATATACAGAAGGTGAAACTGTCATTTTTACTGCCAAATAAGCATCTTCTATCCTATATTTATGCTGATTTTTGAACCAGTTGAAGTGGAAGGCAGGATACCAGCCGCAACGTGCGTGCTTGCCAGCCTTTTAAGTTTTACCTCCTGTAATTATACTGCTGGAAGGAACACGAGGAATATTCGGTTTCAATAATTCTCCCTTGTATCCTCCTATATGGGAAATGGTTGGTTCTCTGCCCTCGTTTTCACTGGCTTATCATGATGTGCATATAAATACAACTAATACAGATGTATTCCTTGCACGTTTTTTGCAAAATAAAATAAAAGTCCAATGTTCCGTTATCGCCTGGTTTTCTTTCCTCTACTTGTCTACCACCTCCCATGAAACGTCATCAATTTTGTGCATATATGGTGGACCTGACTCTTCTCAATCGTACAAATCATACTGCATAAATATATTACTAAAAATCTGATATAAGGACGTGCATTTCATGATTGAACTGCAAAATATCAAAGGGGAAAATGGAAAGATGAAATTTTCAAATGAAAGTGAATTAACATTTTCTTGATACAACTAAAAGTTAAAATGGTTGAAAGTGTAATGCAACCAACTTTCATTCTAGAGCTACAACTTTTGCCTCTGTGTGTTTGTGACAGAGAGAGAGAGAGAGAGTGAGTTTCATTTTAATGTAGGAATCCACAAGTATTATGAATAAAGCAACAATTACATTGGAACGATCATTCAGGAATAAATATGAGAAGACAAGTAAACAAACAGATCGAGAATTCGTTACAATTTAGTGCATTCATAGAGTCCGGGAAGTAAAAGAAACAATACAATACAATAAACACTTTAACAATCAAACAAAGTTACAGTACCACAATGTTTATAGAATAACTTTACTCCAGTATGGCTGTTCTTGTTTCACCGCCATGGTTCTGCCTTATCAGATCTTGAATTTATGCGACTCAGTTTACCAGTTCCCTTAGTTTTCTCAACAGTCGTTGTTCTTTGGTTCGTAGGTTGCTGGTCTCTGGTTTTCTTCGACCCCTTTCTTGAATTTGAATTGTTGGATTGGCCTGTTTTACTCTTCACAACATTTCCTTTTGGTGGATACTCACAATACAAATCCTCATGACATGCTGGGTTTTCAGAAGAGGTTACCAAACTGCCAGATTCTCCTCCAGATGTTAAGTTAGTCTCTTGGAGGGAATCAGGGGCAGGGTTACGTTCGGAGACAGTTTTTTCAATTGTGAAGGCCTGAGCCTCTTCATTATCTTTGGCAGAATCTTGCTGGCAGAACTGTATGGGGCCATGGTAACTATTATCATCAGAGGGCTCTAAGTAAAAAACAGGTGAAGATTCTACTATAGAATCTTTTCTTTCTCGCAGCGTCCTGAGTATCAGTGTCTTCAAGAAGTTCATCACTTGAACTGCATACATCAATGCAGTCAAAGGGTCTGCCATCTGCATTCAGAATGTCAGAATTCTGTCAGATTGTCACTGACATATTGTACCCATAATCAAATTTATATAGATCGACCACTAGTCCATCAGACCGGCATCTTTATTCTTTGGATTGAAATGACTTCACTAGACACCCACTTAAAAGGGGGAGACAGCACATCCCAAGAGAATAACTATAAATTAGAATAAATATATAAATTTAAAACTTAACGAGAGTCGCAATTTTCAGAGTGTGCAACTTTCAGCCTCTAGCTCCACTCATCGTGGGAGGCCGCAATATATGGTGAGACAGTACCATGCCACTTGTTCATTGCATTTCCTTCAGAATTAAGAACTTTGAGGAACCTACCTGAGTCATGTTAGGGGCAAAAACCATTGCAATGTTGCGTGCATTCATCTTATTCAGATGTTCATGTTGGACAACGTCAGCCATCAGATTGATTGCCCAGTCCAAGAGGGCAGCTTCAGTGGGAGGTAGATTCCTTGCCAGTTCAGCACACTCCTCTTCAGTTTGGCTTTGCATTACCTGCTCAGGTGATAAGGAATCCAGAACGCCTATTGGCAGTTCCCTAAACCAAGCCTTGATAATGTACAAGAATATCAAGCCAATTGTTAGATTGAGAGCAAACTAGGCATAAAACAAAATCACACAAACAGAGAGCAGATAGTTAGCAGCTGCCACAGAAACTGATAGCGCATGACCTTAAATTTTTTCACGAGCATGTCAAAGCGCATAGATATTCACATAATATTCATAAAACACAAAACATACTTTATCAGCAATAATCTACACATAGGTAGAGGTAAATCAATATCATGGATGCAACATTTAACTCGCTATTAAATCATTATACATGATTGTACTTTTAAGTCAATTTTATAGTCGGTTTATATAGTTGTATTATTCACTAGACCTGTAGCAATAAACTAGTCCTAAATATCATAAATTCTGAGAGCGAATTCGTTCACCAGTATAATATCGCGAGACGTGACAACTATTCCAATAAAACGATATCTGAAAAAGTGCACCGGAAGAGAGGAATCAAAGGCAATTTATCTTGCGATTTTATACCTTGATAAGTCCTGCTAAGCAATGTACATCAATGCCTTCAGGGACCACTCCCCTATTTAATTGCTCCCTAACATATTCCTCTTGACTATTTTCTGCATTAATTCTGAATATGCCCTCTGCCTGCACAAGTAAATTTAACAATTCATCCAGATATAATCATATTGGCAAACGGTAGTAACTTAAACAGAGAGCAAGTCCCTCTAGAGTCTAGAGCAGATAATAGAAAAGAGGAAGAGGTTAAGCAGGACAGTCCTGTTTGGCTATTTTATGCATAGTGTTTCTAGTAGCTAAAAAGTCTGGATTGTGAGAAGAAGCTGTAAAATAGAACCCAAAAAAAAAAAACAGAGAGAGAGAAAGTGATAATGAAAAGATAATAATGATATTGGTTAAAACCTGCAACCCTCCTTCACTATACAGGCGTCTTTGCATTAATAACAGAATTGTTGGCACACTGTTCCCTCTGGAGTCAAACGATAACTGCATGGATTCGGTTGAAACTCCAAAAACAGTTGCACTATAGGTGACAATTAAAAGAAATAATTAGAGTGCTTGCATGAAGAATAAGCAAAAACAGATTATCAATAAAGGAATCCTAATCTAGTTAACATTCAAGCATAAATAGACCCATACAACCAACATAAAAAGAAATTTGCTCATTATTTTATTTGTATAAGCAAAATCAAGCATGGAAGATACATGCTAATTGCAACGTACGGGAAGTGAAAGAAAATCAGGGTGCGAGTGAAAAAAGACATTCGTATTCTTATCATAAAAAATTGTTTAACAAACATTATTGAATAATGAAAAGCTTATAACAAAGATATATTAGATATTATCCAGTGGAAACAATCATTTTCTCGAATTTTTAATGGAAACAAACAGTTTTAATTAGATCAACAGAATGCCAAATATCACGAAAAAGATAAACGCCTTTAATAATATTTAGTATTTTATTAACTAATCAAAATCAATTTCTATAATATATTTCATGCCGTCCTTTCTCTTTTATAACCTCAACTCTCCTCTTTTAATTCTATTTTAACTAATATGAGACTTTATGTTTTATTTATTATATAATTTGCCTAAAGCACAAGCATCCTATGTCGTAATATGTTATATTAAGATTTGTGCCTTCTATTCCTCTCTACCCACCCTCCCCTGCTAATTTATTTTTGCAAAACACAATTAAATTACATGCATGCCATATATAGCACAGTGCTTGTTAGATGATCTATCCCATGGCACATTTATGCAGCAATTAAGACAACTCATGCTACATGGGAATGCATGAAAGTAAAGATGTTGTTCAATTAGTAGCAATTTCTAAGCGTACGAACTACTAACAATACAATTTACAACTAGAGAATCGCTTGATACCAAGACAAAAAATTATATCTTACTTTTTGTGCATTATCGAGATCATCAAGCAGGTGAAGATCTTCAACAACATAAACCTACTCGTACTGTTATAAACCCACGACTGAATTTGGGGCAGCATTCTAACCCAACCATTATGAAGGACAACATAAAAAAAGTTTCGATTCAACTAAATGAAAGTATAAATACTAACTTTTGAACTCAAAACCTTGTGAAAAGTATCTAAATTTTTTGTCATTGAATCATACCTAGTAACTTGAAAATTTGGATTTTACCCTAAAAGGGAAAACAAAAAATCACAAAAGCCCCATCAATTATTAGATGGGGAACAAAATGATTTTTAAACTCCATGATCCAATCATCAAGACGCAACGTGCGCATCCCGAACTAAAGATCACGTTCACAAAAAACTCAAAAAAATTAAGAAAAAAAAAATCGTCGTGCTTGGCATTGCCTCTTCCCCAGTTGAAAACTCTACATGACCGCTAGAACAGAAAATATAAAACCGAATTGTCTTTACATGGAAAAAATAACGTCAGTACTTTTGAGTAAATTTCAATCATTCAAATTATTTTAGAAACAAAGTACAATTACCAGAAACAAACACACTCACTCTCCTTATTGACTGCACACAAATATAATCCATACGACACCCACTATCTACCCAGACACATTAACTGCACACTCATAAATTTTTCTTCGCATGAACAAAGATAAAAACAATAATTCATATTCCTAATCGAAAGAATGCGATATGTATAGACAATGGAGAAATGATATAAAAGAGAAAACGGCTTGCAACAGTTTTTTTTTTTAATTTAATTTAAAAACGAAGTACCTAGCACTGGGAGGCCTTCTGGGCACTTCAGGTTCGAATTCGTCTGGCAAACCCAAGAAACCATTGAACCTATCAAATGTGACGTGCGCAACATGGCGCACGTTAGACGGCCATCCGATTTCCATCCCTCCCATTACTCTTACAAGCAATCGAGGATCCCTGAAAGGCGTCGCAAGAAGCGCCGAGAGAGGAAGTTGTTCGGTCCGGTGATTATTATCCGTCCTCAGTGTCAGAATACGTCGCCGTATTACAACCTTCCTCGCTCACAGTAGACGAGCGAGTCTGAGTTGCTGGGATAAAGAGAAAGCCATCACTGGAAAGTGCTGTAAAAGAAAACGATGAAGAAGAGGAGGAAGAGCTTCTCCTTGACGAGTAAGAAAAATGGGAAGGGTAATGAAAGACCTCGGTCATGGCTGGCAATGAAAAGGGACTTTTCTTAAAATATAAAAAACCGGAAGCCCCAAAAACGCTCGAGAGATATTGTGGACTAAGAAAACAATAATGAAAGAGAAAGATTTGTTGATTTGTTCAGCAACGAGAAATTTACAGAGAGAGGGAGAGAAGATGGAGTTGATTTGAAGAAAAGGGTGAGCAGAATGTGGGACGTGAGCATCATTAACTGAATTTTTAAAATTAGTTACGTATCGCGTGTTGTGGAGCGTCGAGAAAGCAATGACAACGGGGCGCGTCTCTGAATGAGAAGAAGGATAATATCATAGTACAGAAGCGAAGGGAAAGACAGAAAGAGGAAGAAAATTGGTGGGAAATGATTAAGAGCGAGAAAAATCTGGAAGAATGATTCAATCAGGGCAGTGCTGGTGCGAGTTGCAGCTTGGAAGAGTAATGATAATATAATAATACAGAGTTTGGTGGCGCTTCAGGTTTGTCGCTTCCTATACGGTTCAGACTAGACAGAAGCTTCAAAGTGAGGATCCCTGTTATGGTACTGCAAATTTGTTGGTAAAAAAAAAAAAAACTACTGGAAATTTGGACTACGGTTATGCGTATTTTGCTAGAAGTATAATTAAAAAGCAGCTCTAACCACCCAACAGAACTAATAAAATCTTGTTAAATCATTAAATTTGTTTTAAAAAATAAATTCCTAATTTTATTTATATTTAAACAAAAAAATTTAAATTTACCTTACATTTTCTCTCATGATTAATAAATTTAAATAAAAATAATATTAAAAAAATATAATTAATACATCATTAAGTGTTTTTTTATTGAGGATCGTCAATCTCTTCCAAAAAGGGTCTTATAGTATATTGTGAAAACCTTGTATTTGAGTAATGAGCGCTGACTCAAATTTGATATTTTGGTTTCAAAAAGATATATTTTAAAAAGGCAAAATAAAACATATGAAATTCATCTTTTTTATGAAATGAGTGAGAAAGAAGGGGGGAAACAAAGCCGACTCATGAAAAAAATTCATAAGAATATAATAAATCCTAACTTTGTTTCACGCTTGGAAAAAAATCTTGATTGGACTTGGCCTTGATTTCCGACGAACACAAAAATATGCTAAATAATACTGCCCTATACATATAGAGCATTAGTACTCGATCTTATTCTTTACATGATACCTATCAAATAAACTTTGAGACTACACCGAATCAAAAAGTACCGGAGGTTTATATATCAAATACTATAGAAATATACTGTGCGCTTAATTGGTCAAGTTTGCCTATGTAAGATGCTGCCGTACATGATTGTGTTAGACGAAGAATATTGTTGAAGCATAAGAACTCATATGCTGTACTGTGCGTGTGGGTGTAGGTGTGTAACATGTGTAGTTAACTAAAACGAATTAAAATTTACCTAGAATAAGAAATAAATATAGCTGACCAATAAGTGAGAGTAAAGCATATAGTTATATTAATTGGCGTAGCCTTTCATTCTGAGCCTGAAACAAGAAGTGGATGATACTGATGCATGCCAGGTGAATTCTTTTGTGATATATTTGGATTAATGAGAATTTGAAGTTGGATTTGACTTTGAATTATAAGGAAATTTTGACATACACAAATTTATAAGTTTGATTTTGATTCAAATTCAAGTCTATTTTAAATAATAATTTCTTTATAATTTCAAATTTTCTCTACAGCTTAATTTTCTAAAATTCTAATTATTTTAAATATTTTATTATCTTTGTGTTTTTACTTTTGATATCTTTATAACTCTCATGTTTTTCCCCATCTCTTGCCTGTTAATAAATAGAAATAAACTTATCATTTTTAGTTTTTTATTTCAGTTTTGAAAATCAATTCATCTCCCCTTTTCATTTAAAATTTTGAAAACTATCTAAACAAAAGATTGTAAATGTGAGGTTTGAAATGAATCTAAAATCTAAATTTAAATCCGCCAACATAGAAGCTGCCTTAAATCGCAGCTAGACGTGATAACAAAAAGAAAAATGAATAACATCGTAGAGAAGAACAACTGTGTTTGGACATAGAATACAAGGATAGTGCATTGTTTTCCTTGGAAGTGAAGTTAGAAAATTCTAAAAGGAGGACGAGTAGACAATGAGAATAACAAATCTCTCTCTCTCTCTACATATACGTTAGTCATATTAAGATTGAGAATGAAGAGAAGTTTGGCGTTATGAGTGGAATTGGTTGATATGCGTTGGACATCCAAATCATTGGATGTTTGACGCGTAATATGTCTCGTGTTACCCGATGAGCGTGATTATGGTCTTATGGACTCTCTCTCTCTCTCTCTCTCTCTCTCTCTCTCTCTCTCTCTCTCTCTCTCTCTCTCTCTCTCTCTCTCTCTCTCTCTCTCTCTCTCTCTCTCTCTCTGAGATATATATTAGAGAAACTATTGCCCGTTGAGAAACTATAGGAATTTAACAATTTGCGCTTTAATATAAGTATAACTAAATTTAAGAATTACTATTAGACACCTTGATTAACTGGTTAAGGGGTTAATAATCCAACTTAGTACATATTGAGTTGGAATCCTGAATACACAACAATGATTAAATTTCTAGTACGCTTTTCAAAAAAGTGCCCATGAATTGCATAGCGGAAAACTTGCCACAAGAGAGAAAGCAAAAATATCACCAATTTAATTGCAAGCAAGGATTGAGAGGGTGGGAGAGAAATTTATGATCATGATATTATTTACGCACTAATCTTGTGTGGAAAACTTTCATCATTCTCATGACCCTCGTATATTTTAACATCCTCCGGGTATATAATATCATATCTCAATTCAGTCCATCGAAACATTGAACTCATGATATTTATTGTTAATTTATTTACCTCTTGTTGCTTTAATTGCCTGATTGCGGGAAGTTCATGGGTTAGGTTGGCAAAGAAGTCCCAACTTTTAAATAATTAATAATATTTAGAATTAAAAGTTTATCATTGGAAATATTATTTGACAAACTGAAATGGAAAAATATCAATCAAGAACCATTAAAAAAAATTTATATCAATTAAGGATTATTTGTTATTAAAATTAAAATAAATATTTGTTGATTTAAGTTTGATTTTTATCAATTACTAATCATTTAGATTTCAACAATAATTTATTTTAAATTAATAACAGTTCATTTAAATTTTGATAATAACTAATTTTTGATTGATATAAATTTTTTTTAACCATCTTTTGTTGTTATTTTCCCAACTAAACTCTATTAAAATGTAGTTTGTCATCGTCTATCACTGTATTATTATTAGGGTTACATATGTACACACATGTACCCAAAGGTACAAACACACACATCCAACAATAAAAATAGGTTGTTGAATGCTCATGAAAAAAGTAATTACTAATTAATTGAGAAAATAGTGTCTGGGTTTCCTCTACACAATTAAATATTATTATAAAATTTATTGATAACTGAATATAACAGAAATGACCATTGATATATATTATTATTTTGTTACACTTAGTTGTCAGAAAACATTGTGATGTTTAATTATGTTGTAATCTTGTGAAGAATTTAAGTGTAATTATTTTAATTAATTTCAAAACCGTGAAGCATATGTGAATAGTTTGCTTTGCGTGATGTTGCCGCGTGATCAACATGACTCCACTGACAACACTAGCTAGCTTAGAGATATTTTTGGGTCCACGAAGAGTTCATCGCACGAAAACTTTCACCTACCACTTTTATTTTTATTTATTTCTTTTAATGGAACACGGGTTTCTTTAAAGTTTAAGCAGAGTTATAAAATCTCGATGACGTTAAAATGGTTCGCCAAGGGATTTCTTTTTGTTAATATAATTAAGATCTATTGAAATGATGGGACTTGAGACGTTGAAATTAAAGCACGATTAAGCTTAATTTTGATACGGTCGTAAAAACATTAGACTTTTCAATCATGAATTGATAATTTGAAAAGTGTATTTAAGATTCATGGAAAGCACGAGATTTTAAGTTCCCCACGGGGAGTATGAATTTTGAAGTAGGGCTCTCCCCAGGTAGGGAAAAAAAAAAGAGCCTGAAGGTAATGATCAATGATTCCATGATTATAAAACACATTTATAAGAAATTCAGCATCATAAAATATAAATTATTTTAACAAAAATAAAATTTTATTAAATATATTTTTTAATATTATTTTTTATATATTTTTCTTTTTAATATTATTTCACAAATGAAGTATTAAAAAATATTTTTAAAATTTTATGTTTTATTTTAAAAAATAAAATTTTAAAGTACATTTAATAAATTTTATTGGTGCGTGTGATTTTACTTTAAAATATTTTATAATTTGAATTGAAAGTAATATCAAAGGTGAATTAAGTTGTATGTGACAAGGGCAACTCTGGAGCTCCCTACTGGTTCCATTTCTAATGTTGAATATCTAATTTTTTAAAAAATTTGGTTTAAGTCAATTGGGATTTATTATTGTATTAATTCATATAATCAGTAATTGGTTCAAAATCCATATTAAATGACGAGATTTTAGTTTTGGAGGGTAGGCAATTGTTTTAGGTGACTTCAACACGTGTCTATATGTGTAAAGTTAAGTGAGACAGCTGTGAGAAAATTAAAATAAACAGTGTTGAATCCCATAAATAGCGATAGATGAAAACAAACGAAAAACCATATCATTGAAGTTATCAAATACTTTCTACGTCTTAAATTATAAAATATTTTTAAATAAAAAATTTATATATTAATAAAATTTATTAAATACACTTTATAATTTCATATTTTTAAAATAAAAATATAAATTTTAAAAAATATCCTTCATTTAATATTCCATTGATGGAAGAATATTAAAAAATATATATAAAAAGAGTAATATTAAAAAAGTATTATTAATAAAATCTTATTTTTATCAAAGTGTCTTATATTTTGAAATAGTAAATTTTTTTAAAAAATGTTTTATAATTTATGATGAAGAGAGTACTTTTTCTAGATTATAGTATAAGACATCTTTTAAAAACTTTATGTAATTCAAAATATACAAGGTATCTGATAATTTTTATATTTATTTTTCAACTATATTCATACTTTATTTATTAACCTTTTAAACAAATTATGTATTAAAATTTTAGTTATTATTATCAAAGCTTTTATATAGGATATTTAATAAGAATATAAATAAAAAGATGTGGACATTTTTAAAAATTTAAGGTTTTAA